ATTCCATATTACACGCACACACACACACACACACACTGACACAGACATACATTCATTCATTCATACAAGCACGCACATCATCAATTAGAAATTGAGATTTTTATATCTAGCAATCATCATCATCATCATCATCATCATCATCATCATCGTGATTTGATGATCTGAAATGAAAATTTTTTGTTCATCCAAAATGTTTGGTATTTTTTTCTCTCTCTTTGGTTTTCATTTTTTTTGATTACTTGCATTTTTTTTTTTGTTGAAGAAATAAAAATTTTTATCCTATGTGTATGTGTGTGTGTGTATTTGTGCATATATCCAGGAAACTACACGCAAATATATCAACAAAACATCCACAATATAAAAAATTGATCGATACTACTAATAAAACATCTTCATTCATTTCATTATTAACAAAAAATGGCATTGAAGTTAAATGAATGACGAAGATCTGGCAAACCATTTTTTTTCATCTCTATTTCAATGTTGATGATCATCATCATGTCCATGATATGTTATTATTGTTGTTGTTGTTGTTGTTGAAAATGGTTAGTTTTTCTGAATTAGATTCATCGGTTTTCATCTATGCATTTTTTCCCTCTCTCTCTCTTGTCCTCTATGTTTGTATACAAACTGATTTAGTTGATTTTTATTTTCTCTTGAATGATTGTCATGTTGTGACGACTAGACTTTCCCAAATCATTCATTCATTCATTCCAAAAAACTAGATAGTAACAACAACAACTTGTTGGACATTCACAAAGTGACTTTTTTTCCCATTTTTACCACCAACCAACGACTATTATCATCATCATCATCGTCGTCATCATCATTGTGATGAGATCTGCATCGTTTTTTTTAATGGACAACAAAACCTGTTTGGATTTTACTCTTTTTGCGTTTCTCTTTATGCTTCGTTGTTCACTCATTCATTCATTCAATCTACTAAATTCATTTGTTCATTCGATGGCAATCATATTGGACACACACAAAGTCATCTGAAAAAAACATTTGTTTCGCCCATCTTTTTTTTTTCATTTCACGCTAAACCATCAACCAACCAGCCAAAACAGAAAAATTATTATGATGATCATCGAATCTATTTCCTTTCGTATGAGATTAGTTTCAACCAACAGTTATGAATCAGGTGTGTGTGTGTAGTGTACAAAGTGTATTGTTTATTTGTGTTGATTGATTAAGAGGTGATTTCATTTTTCATTAAGAAAAGTTGTGTATGTGTGTGTGTGTGAGTGCATGTGTTGCATCGGAATCCAGAATCAATGAACGGCAATCAGAGATAAAATAAAATTAACAATTTGTCTAGTGATGAAATTAGGTAGTGTTGGTGATAATCAAAAGTAAAAAAAAAAACCTCAATCAACCTAACAACAACAATCCAAATCAATAACAACAATTTATCGAATATACTTGATTTGCAATCAAAGTTTGTTTTTTTTTTCTTTGTTGTTGTTATTTTTATTATCGCCGTCTATTTATTCGAATCATCACAAACAAACTGTTGATCATTTTAAATACAATCATCATTATCAACCAGTCAATATATGTAAACAAAATAATGTTGATGGTCGTGTGTGTGTGTGTGTGTGTACCATATCGATAAACAAACATCAATTTATCTTGACAACTACATGATTCATCAGTGGCCATAAAAACGTATGTTTTATTGCATCAAAGCAATATCATCATCATTCAAAGCTTCAACCCATTCATTTCAAATGACAATTTCCTTCTTGAAATATTTATATATTCAAGTTTAAAATTCCATTCGTAGTACCGGTTGAACGGTAACACGACCATCAATATTCAAATTGTTTTTGTTTTCACACAAACATTTATTACCTTGTTTTCGGTCTGTTTGTTATGTAATTTTGTGTGTGTGTGTGTGTGTGTTTTTCACACGTTTGTCATATGGTTTTCATGTTTTTTTTCTGATGATCATCATTTTACACACATTTATCAAGAGGCCTCGAAGTTATAAAACAAGCGAAAATTTTTTTTTTCTCTCAGATATCAATGGCAACAACAAGTTTTTATCATTGCAAATATTATCATTGTACATTGTCATTAATAATAATTTTTTTTCTGTTCATCCAACGATCATCTACCATTGTCCATCGATGAATTGTTTGTTCGCTTCAATAAATTAGAGGCCTGATTCTCAAACATAAAATTTTCTACTCCAATGAATTACTGACTGGATTTCGGAAATTTTTTTTTTCTTAACATTAATCATCAAATCACATTCTATTGGATTGCAAATTCTTGAAAAAAAAAATTTTTTTTTCCATTCCAAAATTATAACAATCGTTAATTAGTGTTTTGTATTTGTTTCATCATTTTGTTATTGCCATTGTTGTTGTTTTTATTTTTTGACGATTTATATATCATTTTCATCATCATCATTGTATATCAAGTGTCAAAGAGAAAAAAAAATTGGTAAGTTTCAAGTTTTTTTTCTATTTTGCTCTCTCTATAAATATCTCAAGTGACCTATCCATCACGATTTTTTTTTGATAATGATGATGTTGATTCATCGCCTAGTAATTCGAATAATAAAACCTATTTATAAGGTGAATGTACTTGTTGTAAATAATAATAATAAAAAAACTTGATTCGATGATTATAACCAGAAATTCGAATATATCGGATTTCTTCCGGTTATAAATATATTGATGATCATCAAATATCAATGATGAACAAATTTGATCGAAAAAAAATTATTTTTTCTTATTTCATTTCCCCATTTCACTGCCTATGGGGTGATTCATTCATTCAATATATTTTGATTATAATTACAAAAAAATACGAAATTCTAACCTCATTCATTCGGTAATGACTACGACGACGACGACCATCCATCCATCCATCACCTTTTGAGAACATAACAGTTTCTAAAGATAAAAAAAAAGAAAAAATAAAAACACACTTTGTGGTCACTCAGTTTTCATTAACGTATCATTATCATTATCATCATTGTCATTATTATTTTGCCACGACGTATATTTTTAGAACACATTGTATTTTGTTTCATTTCATTACATTTTTTTTTTCATAAATATAAATGATGACCATAACGGTGACATTTTTTTAGATTAAAAATATTTTTATCATCTAGATTTTATATCTTTTTTTTCTTGATTTACTTGCTAAAATTGTTGTTGGATTTTATTTTGTTCTAATGACTTATAATGTATATATATATATATAAAGATGATGACATACATAAATCATCATCATCATGTGACAATCAATAAATATACCAAGTCAAGTTTGTTTGAAAGTTTTTTTTATTTATAAAATGATTGTTGCATAATATATGACAATGAATTGAACGATGATGTTTTTTTTTTTGATGATAATTAGGACACACACACACGCACGCAATCTTTTGAACAAGATCGATTAATTGAAAATGATAAAAAAAAACAAACAATGGGAAGCCATGATAATTATGATCATCTTTGAATAATAATAAAAAAAAACTCAACTAATTAGTATGAACCAGAAAAACAACAATTGATTTATGTTTTTTTTTCTGTTTAAAAACCATCTAGGTTGACCTTTTTTTTGAAAAAATGTGTGAAAAAAGAACATGCATTTATCATTTTTTTCTACATTTCTCATTATTATCATCATCATCATCATTCATTTGACCAAGCCCAATGATCATCATTGGAAAATTTGAAAAAAAAAAAAAATACTAAACGATTATTGTTTAAGTGAATCGAATTTGGAACAAGTTTTCACTATTCGATTAGAGAAAATAAAATGTCAAACATCAGAATCATCCACTGAATTCAAATGTAGACATACACACGCACACACACAAAACAAATTTGTACTATTTTCTTTGGATTTCTCATTCATTTGTCTGTTTGTATGGTTGATGCTCATCTCTAATGTCAAATTTTGTTTCATTTGTTTAAAAAGTCAAAAAAAAAAAAAAAAATTTTTTTTATTATGGCCACAAATGTTATCATTCAAACAAATGAATGAATGATCAACAACAAAAGAATAGATTGGCACAATAGGGAGCGACTACAATTGGTTAAAACCTTCACCTTTATTTTTCTCTCTCTCTCGTACAAACCACATTCAACAAAACACAACATTTATTTGAGCTTTATTCAAGTAAACAACATAATGAACAAACTTAAAGCATAATATTCCATAAGAAATTGAATAAATTCTTCTATATTCATGACGAACGATTTGTACACAGCAAAAAAATTCTTTGTCAAATGTACTATTAATTACGTTGTGCAAAACATTGATTAAAATGATCATCATTTTAATATTAAATAATATCATCATCAACATTTTTTTCTTTTTCATTGAATGTTTACATAGTTATATTTGATTCTTGCCCAATTGGAATGTCAAAAAATTGGTTGTTAAAACTTCAATATATATAATAACTGTCATCATCATCATCATCATATGTTTGTATGACATAATTTTGTATTTTTGCTACAAATGAAAATTATTATTAAATGAATATATAAGATACGGATGTTTAAACAACATGAAAAAAAGAGATTCTCATCACATTTGGATCTCCGCGCTTAATATAAACGTAAATATTAAATACTTTTATCTTGTAAATATTTTTTAGCTAAACAATCATGAATGATTATCATTTTTTTTTAATATGGGCCAGTTGTTTTTCCCCCCATTTGAAATAACAATAAATAATGAATTATTGATTGATTGGAATCAATTAAATTTATAATACACACGGAACACGCGAAAAGGTCATATACACACGAATTCATAAGCGATCTTGTTGTTGTTGTTGTTGTTGTAAAAAAGAAAAAAATTGATTATAAAGATCAAATCATTGAAAAAAATTTCAAACAATAATGAATCGTGTTCAAACTATTAATGGAACAATGAAATGAAAATTCATGAAGTAAAATTGGAATTTTTTTTGTTTTGTTTTGTTTTAATCAATATAAAATTCATTGCTCTTCTCTTTTTCTTTTTTCTCATCATCATCATTCATCATCTCTTCATATACACATTTACCATTCATCATTCATATGCACATATACAATTCAATTGGCTAGTTGTGTTTAGCCTGTGATGTTTGTTGTTGTTGCTGTTGTTGTTGTTGTTGTTGTTGTTGTTGATTATGATGAGAAACAATACCGTTAGTGGCTGTAGTAATCTGATTTTGTACACGTTTAACAACTTGTTCGGCTTCATGTGTCAATGATTCTGCACCGGAAACAATAGCTTTATGTGCACGATTAAAGCTTGATTTGATTGAAATTGGTGTATTCTGTGAAACTGTTGTCATTAATTGTTCACCACCAGTTGCGGCAACTGTTGCCGCTGTTTTCATTGATGTTTGTATGGCATGTATTGAACGTTTTAATTCTGGTTTTTTACGATTACGAAAAATAATCAAAAGTAAACACAATAGACCAATAATATCCAATAATAATATGGCATTCATTTTAAAATTACTAATACAAGTATCATCTGAATCATTACTTGTAATGGTGCCATGATTATCAACATCCATTTGTATGTTGTTGTTGTTACCACCATTGGATTTCATCATCATTACTGATGATGGTAACAACGATATCATCATTAGTAGCATAATTATTATCAATGTTAAAGAATTAATATTCGAACAAATATTCATGAAAATATTGGCCATTGATGATGATGATAATTGGATATTTTAGTATTCATTTTTTTTCGTTCCTATACACAATGAAAAATGGAAAACAAAACAGAAAAAAATAAACAGTTAAACAGAAGCAAAATTCACAGAAAAAATTATTAAATTCCAACATTTTCATTCATATTATTTATATGGATTTATTTGTATTCCAATTTTCGAACAAAATTTTATTCGTTTATTCGGTCCATTTTGTTTGTTGTTTCAATGAAAATTTTTTTTTTTTGACTAATAACAACAATAATAACAACAACAACAACAACAGCAGCGAAATTGCAAGCCAATTAACAAAAAACGACCAATTACGATGAAAAAGAAAAGACAGAAATTAATTGAATCAAAAACAAAAACAAAAAAAAAAAAAATAAATAAACATCAAAAACATTCCTACGCACACACACACACACAGAAATTTGAAGTTTGAATTAGATCAAATTGAATCAAACAAAAGTAAAAAAAATGAAAATTTAATTGGAACAAAAAAAATTATATAAATAATGAGTACATGACTTTTTAGTGTAAAAAAAATGTGTAGATGATAAGTACTAGAAAATTTGATGATCATCACTGTCCAAAACAGAATCAAGAATAACGGTGACGATGATGATAAGACTAATTTTTTTTTCATAAAGAATGAGATAGAGAATGAGAGAATCTTTTGTTTTTCCTTAATAGAATTATAGAAAATTCTTGTAATTGGACACACACACACATTTATGAACTTTTTTTTAGGGGGGGGCGAGCAAATCAACAAAACAAAATTGTCATTCAAACGGAAATGGATGGAATTTAGGTGCACACAAACAAACAACAACAAGAAAACATCTTTTTCATTTGTTTATAAATTTTATAAGCAAATTAAAGATAAGTGATGACGATGATGATGATGATGATAATGATTAATGTTCTTTTCTTGTGATGGATGACTATGAATAATATATATCCTTGAAAAAATGTATGATAATAATAATGGTGATGATGATGATGATGATAATGGAGTTGAAAAAGAATTATTTCTGAAAAAAAAAACAAAACAATAAAAAAAAATGATGAACAAAAACATCATCAACAATTGACCAAAGACGTAATGTGTGATAAATCTATTACTGTTACTACTACTACTACCACTTCTATTATTCATTTACTGATTTTTAGAATCGTAAAACAACAACATTATTATTATTCGAATGAATGTTCAAACGAATTCATCTTCAGGGACACAGATACTAAGATATAGAGAGAGAGAGAGAGAAAGATGGACAGATAGAAAAACAAAATGAATAATTGAAGAAAAAAAAACATTGCAAGATGAATTGATTATGATGATGATGATGATGATGTCTATATAGGATCATCATAAATCAAATTGTTTACAATGATCATCATCATCATCATCATCATGATGGATTCCAGTTAGAATCGGAACCAAAAAAAAAAAAAAAAAATATGATGATCATCATCATGAGTTATGATTGCAAAAATTCATAAAAAAAATGGTAGTATGTTATTTTTATATATTTGTAGACGTAGGCGTTATATTATATAAATAACTGTTTTCCAGTTATTCTATTCAAATAATAATAATAATCTCTTAAATGGAATTTGTTTTTGAATTTTAAATGCAAATGATAAATGGTAAATATATATTCAGTTGAATATTATCCACTGATGGATCCATTCCTAGACTAACAGAATATATTTAGTATAGTGGAAAATGAAAAAAAAACGTTTGAAATTCAATTATTTTCAAAAACGAAAATAAAGGCAACATAAATCGAATTAAAGTGGTCGATATTTTTTTTCCTGTCATTCCACTGTTGAATCAGAAGAAGAAGAAAAATGAAAAAAATGATGATTTACTTTTGATGAATGAAAAAAAAATTTCTCAGTTCTCAGAAAAAAAATTGATTAATAACAAAGAAATTTGAATAAATGATAATCAAAAATCGATTCGATTTACTCGATTATATTATTCACATACAAGTTTTGAACAATGAAATTTTAGAATAGAATTCCAATGGAAAAACGTAGAGAGAGACAAAATTCAAATTGATTCTTTCCATTCGTTTCTTCTGTTATTTCTACTGCAATATCATCGTGATCATCGGGTCATACCGTAAAATCTTTTTCTCTTCTCTCGGCCTGTCTCTGTGGACAAAATCATAATTGAATTTTTTTTTTTAACATTCATACAAGGATGAGCAAAACAAAAAAAGAGTAACATTTTGTTTGAATATAGAAAATTATTATATTTCCAATCATATATGATCATCGTCATACACACAATGGAAAATTTGTTCATTCAATTCATTCGTTTGTTTGTTTGTTCGTTCACACTTTGAAAACCATCACATCACATCTTTATTTATTTATTTTTCCAAAGAAAACAGTCTAAAAATGAGTAATCTTGGAGATTATATTCATCATCATCATCATCATCATTTATAATTCGAAATTTTTTTTTTTTTTGTTCAAGATTCTTATTAAGTTTATATAAATTTTTGTGTGTGTGTGTGTGTGCATGTGTGTCCAAAAATACACCATTTGATTGTAGTCGAAAAAAAATGATTAATGAAAAATATATATATCAATTCAACAAAATTGATCATCAAATTGTAAATAGACGACTGCCCCTCGAGCAGTAAACAAAAAAAAATTAAAAGTTCATTGCTAAAACAAAAGAGATGGCCAATTGATTTCTATTTTGCATTGTTTGTCTGTCTGTGTGTGTTCAGCCGATCCCTTTTCATTTTTCATTTTGTATTGTGGTTAGATTCAATCATTTTGTTGTGAGTCAACGAATTATAATTAATTCACATTTTTTTTTCTTTGGTCGAAAACAAAACAACAACAACAACAACATTAAGACAATTCAAGAAACAAAACAAAACAAAAGAATTTCATTCCAAACACTTTTTCAACAACAAATTGTATACAAGGTCAAATGAAAAAGAATATGAAGAAAAATCTTTGATCATTAACACATACGAATAAAAAAAAAAGTAAATGAATTATAATTAATTCACATTTTTTTTCTTTGGTCGAAAACAAAACAACAACAACAAAACAACATTATCCTAAATGTAAGACAATTTCAAGAAACAAAACAAAAACGGAATAGGAGGTTTTGTTGAAATATTAAAAAAGAATTTCATTTCAAACATTTTTTTTCAACAACAAATTGTATACAAGGTCAAATGAAAAAGAATATGAAGAAAAATTTTTGATCATTAACACATACGAATAAAAAAAAAGAAGTAAATGTTCAAAATAATTATCATCATGATGATGATGATAATGGCATGATTTGGCAATGATTATGATGATGATGATGATGATGATGATAAGGATCAAAAATACCACGAGGTAAATCTTTTGATTGATTTTAGATCTAATTTGTTCAATTCCATGAATCAATGACAAACAAAAGAAAATGAAATGGCAACCAATCGGATAACTAATTGCATTGAATTGGAAATAATTTGGACCATAATCAATCAATCAATTAAAACATTCGAATCAATCAATTAATGATGATGAATTTCATATGCGGAAATTTTTATTTGTGTTTTTTTTTCGTGATTGTTGATCAGTGATCACTCATCACAACGCCTACAAATTATATCATCTGTAGATTATATGAAGAAACAAAAAAACAGTAGTACATTACGAAATTCGATTCAATTTATATATGCCAAATACAAAACAAGTCTGTATATCAACAACAACAACAACAACAACAACAAAAAACCGTAGGCAGCAAAAGACAATTGAAAATGTTATATGGATGCTTGTTGTGTATAGTGATGATGATGATAATAACTAGCACCACCAATAATAATAACTTTATATCCATATAGTGTAAACCAAATGGATTTAACACAATTTTCAATGGAAATATAAAAAAAAACTTTTTATTTTTCTGGACAACCATTTCATTTTATATCTTGTGATTTTTTTTTTATATATATATGATGAGATATGATGATGAACATTCAATGTAGGCGTCATCAATTTAGTAGTACTTTTCTTTTCATTTCATTTTTTTTTTCAATGGAATTTTGTTTCGCCTAGTTCAGGTGTATTATAATAATGAATTAAATAAATCCAACGTTTATATTTGTTGTAAAGCAAAAAAAAAACTATTACATTTCAATTATGTCTGTGTATGTTGTTTCTGAAATCGATGATTTCCTTATCGAGTAATAATAAACCAAACGTTTTTGTTGTTGTTGTTGTTGTTGTTCAATCAAAATTGCATATATATTGAATTACATACAAATATATTACACGAACATATTCAAATTCAAATGTAGGATTGTTTTTTTTTTTGGGAATCTTTTTTTTTTTTTGACTATTTCAAATTGAAAAAAAAATTTCCTGGACACATTATTAGTGTTATTATTTGTATATCTATGATGAAGCATTGGGAATTGCCAGTTTCTTGTTGTTGTTGTTGTTGTTTTTTTCACTTGGGATTCATTTAAACTCATTTAATTAATTCATTCGATTCATTAAGAATAACAACAACAAGTATGTAAAAAATTTTGTCAACAAAATTCTATAGAATTTATATAAAGATAAATTGTTCACTTGAGAATGTTTTATATGAATAATTATAATTTCATTTATTTTTTTTTCTTCTAATTCTAGGTATACTAGATATTTGGATTCGTTTGTATTTCACCAGTATTTTTTTTTTTTGAATATATATGAACCATGATGGCATATCGTGGTAGAACATTACCACCGGCACCACCACCACCACCACCATCATCATCACAATCTAGATTATCGAAAATATCATCAAATCGTTATTCACAACAATATTATTCAACAACTGATTCAACATCATCTTCAGACAATAATAATCATAATCAGAATTCTATTCGTTCTCGGTCAATATCAAATATATCTCGATTATCAAATTCAAATCATTCAACTGATTCTGCACCATCAAGAAGTAGTAGCATTTCAAATTCAAGTGCCAATATGGATAATGATTCTAATGGAACTACACCACCACATTCATTATCACCAACAACAACTAGTCGTTTGTTAGATGAATTTGAACAAAGTAAAATTGAAATGTTTTATCGTTCACATCGTACATTTGTTTATGTTGGTCAATGTTTAGTAACATTATTGTTTACTGAAACTGAACTAGTCGATGGTGGTCGTCAATCTAGGCCTAAAAGTAAAGATTGGAAACAAATATGTCATGGTGTTCCTGTATTATTATTTAATCGTGGTGATACACGATCACGTGATAAACGACAGATTCAAATCTGTATTGCTGAACATGGTACCGGTTTTCAATTATGGACCGATATCATTGATAATCTATCCAATTATCATGCATTGAAACCAACATTTCATACAATGTATTTATCGATGGATCATCGAAAAATGGCTGGATTTCAATTCGAAAATCAATTTGCAGCATTAGAATTTTTTCGTCAAATTGAAATTATTACCGCCAATCCATTGAATATATCGTTGACTGGGCCAAAGGCTGGAAAAAAATCTGGCGAAAAATTTCGTATATTTCGTAAACAACGATCAAAAAGTGTTGGAAGATCCAATGATATTCATCATCATCATCATCATAATGTTTCTAATGAATCATCTCCATTCTATGATTTACATGATCAAAGTAAGAATAATCATTCTAAAAATAAACGACCACCAGGTAAAACAGATATATCGACACCTTGTTTATTTCAACATGTAACCAGCGTTAATCTACATAATTTCAATCAATTTGATTCAACTATAACCGGTCAAAATGGTGATGAAAATTCAAATGCTACAACAGAATCGGATTTTAATCAAAAATTTGAAAATTATTCCACAAGAATACGTTCCGATTATTCGACACCATTTCCATATCATCATCATCATCATCATCATCACCATCATCATAATCATCGATCAACGACAACATCTTCGACTAGTGCCTAGTAAAGTACGGAACGTAAATTGAAATGAAACAAAAAACAACTTATTCTTCAGTGCCATTGAAGAAACAACAATATTTTGAAATTTTTTGTCTGTTAAAATTGTTAAATTTTCAAATATTCTATTTTATTCAACTTTTTTTTCATTGTTTTTTTTCATGATTGTAAATATTGTATTTTTTTATCATCATTTCAAATAAAATTACAAAATTTCTTTTTTTTGACCCAATTAGAATTTCAATTTTTGTTTTTTTTTCAAACATCAAAATTCGATCGATTAGTAGATTGAATAAAATTGAATAAAATTCAGCCCAATGTTATGCTGAAATTGACATTATAGAAATGTGTTCATAAAATGTTTGTATGGCCAATCATTATAATATTTTTGGTAGCTACTACAACAATTCCAATATCGTTATCAGATTCATTCCATAAAGAAAAACATTCATCATCATCATTTAATCAGCAAAAATTTTATCCATTCGATAAAAATACAGATCAACCGGTAATCGAAATTTTAACCTGTTTAAATCGAGGACTATTTGGTAAGTATGGTGTATATGGAAATGTTTTCATAGAAAATTTTCATAAAAAAAATTTCACTCTATTATCAACCATCACAGCATTCTTCATAATTGGAAACATAGTATCATTACTGTTGATTTTCTATGTAATTTATGATTGTTTTTTTCATACTTATCGAAATAAACAAACCATCAAACGGCAAACAAAAATCTCGAATAATAGAAAAATAAATGTAAATCCAAAAATGTCAACGACGACTACGGCAACGATGACAAGATCTACAAGTACGACTAAATCTTCATCTAAACAAATTCCGAACATCATGGTAGTAGCAAACGTAAACAAAGTAAAATTATCACAACCCATTATTCTTAAAGCACAACAACAACAACGGAAAACATTCGAATCTAGTCAAGAAAATACTGTTAAATTTCTTAGCCATATATCGTCGATTGCGACACCACCAGAATTGAAAAGTCGACAACAATCATTGACAATTTGAATGCAAATGAATTAACAAACAAATGAAATTAAAATTAATATAATAAAATAATCAAAAAAAAAAAAACAAACAAATAATTTTTCATATAAAAATCAATGCTATTTCGAATGCTCAAATTCGTTTATCATAGACAGAATTATTATTTCAAATGTTTTTAATCGTATTGTAAACAGACAGTGTATTTTTTCAAGTCATCAAGTATATCGCCAACAACATAAAACAATCCTGACCAGAAAGACAATGAGTGATTCAAATTCAATGAACAATAAACAACAACCACGATATTTTCGACGAACAACAACAATAACAACGAAAAGTTATACAATCAATTATGGTATAATCGAAGTAATTGATTGGGAAAATCATGAAAAATTGTTACAAAAAGATCGAATATTATTGAAAAATAATCGTAATGTTTGGCATTATGAACATAGATCGACAATCAATCGTTATGAGATTGTTTATAGGCAAAATAATCCATTACAATATTCATTTCTTGTATTTCATAGTCTATGCAAGAATGATTCAGATCAATATTTTGAACATCTAAGTGCGGTATTGAATAATCTATCTGAATATATGACATCAATAAAATTCGAAGCATTCGAAAATCTTAAAACAATTATGGAAATTCTATCCACGAATCCAAATTGGAGTACAACACATGTGGCTGCTCGGCTTGGTTATAGTCAATTTTTTAAAAATAAAAGAGATATCGCCATAAAGGAAATTAATCTACAAATTCAACCAGATGGAATGACACCATTACATTTGGCCATCCATCATAATCATAAAGCTATAATTGAAATCGTGTTACTAGATCTATATCCAAATCTAAATCTATTGGATTTTAAACAATATTCTGTATTACATCATGCTGCACTTTCTAGACGAGATATTTTTCGTTTAATTCTTAGTCAACCAAACATGTTTGATAGAATTTTATGGAAAAATCATCAAGGATCAACAGCATTACATTTGGCTTGTTTTGCTCGAAATTATTTGATTGTATATGAATTTCTAAAATTTGGACTAACCATTCAAATGTTGACATTATCGCCACCGAAAAATCGATTGAAATCACAAAAAATTGATAATGGTAATCAACAAATCATTCGTTTCACTGATCAAGATTTGGGCGATTTGGATCGTCAAGATATTGAAATGGTGGGCAGCCCATTACATTGGGTTAAACATCGACGATTGATGGAAAAATTGATAAATATTTATAAATTTCCATTGAATATTCGAAATCTTAATGGTGAAACACCGTTACATGTTATGGTCAGACGTAAACGAATTCGATGCGTCATTACATTATTGTGTTCGGGAGCAAAAATTGATGCAAAAAATAAATTCGGTAACACGGCATTACATCGAGCAATTAAAGCTGATGAAATAACATTGTCACAGGCATTGATCGTGTTTGATGCCAATATTGATGCTATCAATAATCGTAAAGAATCAATCAGACATTTAGCAGCATTGGCCAGTACACGAGATCAGTCATTTTTTTCACAACACATTCTATATCTAGTATCATCATTGGGTGCACGAAGATGTCCCAAAGATATGGTTAATTGTAATTCAGGTTGTAGTTATGATGGAGATTTTGAAGGACGATGGAATTTTGTCATCATGGATTTAACTAATCAATATGAAGCGATTTTTAGTAATCTAAAAAATTCAGAAATGTTTGATAAAGAAATGGAAAAAAGTGATGAAGAAATTGCCAATGATAAAAATGGTGTGAATATGCTCTGTCTAGATGGCGGTGGTATACGTGGTTTAATAATCGTACAGGTGATGCTCGAATTCCAGAAACACATGGAACGACCATTTATTGATTATTTTAAATGGATTATTGGCACAAGTACCGGTTCATTGGTTGCCACCTATATGGTTATTGGAAAAACATTAGCCGAGATACGTAATATTTATTTTCAATTCAAAGACAAAGTATTTGTCGGTACTCGTCCATATGATCCAGAACCATTGGAATGTTTAATTAAAGAATATTTGGGACCCAATCTGATGATGAAAGATTTGAAAGGCAAATATGGAAAAAATGTTATCATACCAGCCACCCTTCATGATCGAGTGCCGATGAAATTACATTTATTTCGTAGTTATCCATCACATTTGGAACTATTAAAAAAACCTGATTATGATCGTGGATTTGCTCGACATCCTTGCCAGGATCAAATAGTGTGGAAAGCATGCCGTGCTTCAGGTGCTGCTCCAACCTATTTCAATTCATTTGGACCATTTATTGACGGTGGTATAATGTCCAATAATCCGGCCATCGATGCATTGACTGAATTCGAATTCTATAATAATGCTTTGAAACAAGTTGGCCGATCTGATGAATGTGAAAAGCTTCGTTTTGTATTATCATTAGGCACTGGCCGTCAACAGACCGAGTCTTGTAAACCGATTGATATTTCACGAATTTCATTAAGTTTAATGGAAGTGAATAATCAGATTCGTTATATATATCAAATGACCAATCTGCTTCTGTATGAACTTTGTAATACTGATAATCATATTGTAAACAGGTTAGTAAATAATTGATATTATTATTGCTCATTTTGTTCATTTTATTTTTTTCTTTCCATTTTATATTGTATACATTTACAACCTACTAAAGAGCCGAAGGATTTTGTTCAGCAGCCAACATACTGTTTTTTCGTATCAATCCACAATTCAACAAATTAATTGAGTTAGATGAAACATTGGATTTCAAAATTGTCAATCTACTTTGGGAAACTAAACGATTCATGTATCTAAAACGTAATGAAGTAGAACAGATAGTGAAATATTTGAAAAAATTTACCCAATTCCCTGAGCAGCAAAATGTCAACAAATGATAGATGATTATTATCATCATCATCATCATCAATAAAGATGAAAAATAAAATCAACACACAGGATTCTTAAGAATTCGAAAAAAAAGTTGAATATGAATGAACAAAAAAAAATTCTTTATTTAATAGAAATAAGCAATAACTAAATTTTCATCGAAATTAAATTGTATATATATCTAGAGCTATAAAATTGAATTAATTTTCAAGAAACATGCAAAAATATTTTTTAAAAAAATATTTTGTTTTGTGCTTTTGTGTTGGTTCAAAATGATTCCAATGAGTATGGTTAGAAAATTTCTGATTGCTGTAACTGTTGTGTTGGTGGCTCGTATTGTATGGTGGTATGGAAGGAAAAATTTCATACAAAAACGCCAATCATCAACAACAATGTATCGGGTGGCAGTTTTTGAACATGTTCCACAAGGAGATGAAACAATCGATAATTTTCGTGAAATTATTGATAAAAATCTAAAAATCTATGAAAAAGCTGTTGATATTGCACATGAAGATGGTGTTGAATTACTTGTGTTTCCTGAAGATAGTTTAATCAATTCAGAACATTATAATCGTTCAATGTTGATTGAATATATTTTAGAATCGATGCCTAATCCACGTATTGGTGAGATTGTGAATTTTTGTGATACAATTTCAATGGATCAAAGAAAAAAATCAGTTCTGGCAACTGTAAGTTGCTGGGCAATGAAATATAAAATGTTCATTGCATTAGGATTTGGTGATAAAGTAAGATGTAATAGAAATTTCGATTCAGAATGTCCACAAGATGGTCATTATCTTTACAACACTATTGCTTTATTCGATTGGTATGGAAATCTTGTGGCTAAATATCATAAGATGCAACTTTTTTATGAATTTCAATATAATATACCGAAGAAAAAAACCCATTATCATGATCCAATTGTTTATTATGATTCTCCATTTGGTCGAATAGGATTTATGATTTGTTTTGATTTAATGTTCAAACAACCTGGTATAAAGCTTGTAAAAGAATATGGTGTACAGACAATCATTTATACTACATATTGGTTTAATCATTTACCATTTGTTTCCAGTGTTCAAATGCAACAAGCTTTTGCTTTGACACATAATATCAATTTTTTATGCGCTAGTGCACATATACCACAAACTGGAACAATCGGTAGTGGTATCTATTCTGGACATTATGGTGCAATAATCTATGTAAATAGTCCTGATAGTAATTCAAAATTAGCCATAGCAACCATTCCGATTGATCCAAAAGAAAAAGAATCATCATCCGTAATTCATGAATCAAAACCGAAATCAATAATAATATTTCGAAATAAAACTCGTCAAGAATTACAGAATAATCACATGGATCCAAATGAATTACAATCGATATTGATTTTAAATTTTCGACATAGTCAGACCGGTTCAGCAAAATGGTGTTTTCCTGGCTCATATTTATGTTGTCGACTTTATTATGAACTCAAACATATTTCAAATGATGAAAAGTTTATATATGCATTGTTGGCTGGAACGGCTATTTCTGGTGCCATCGGACAATCAAGATATCCAATTAATCAAGAATATTGTGCTATGGTTAAATGTGAAACGAAAAATTGTTCAAAATTCAGTTCAAATACTGGTATCGAATTCAACTATATATTTATGAGTGCTACTTTCATTAGCCATTATGTTTATCCATCTGTCATTGGCAATAATGAACGACTTTTATCCATACAAAAAGAATGGATTTATCAACATCTAGAACCGGATGAAAATATTATCCGTGTTCGACCAAAAGAACCGGTTGTAGCTGTAACATTATATGGACGAAATTATGATAATGATCCAGTATATGTACATTGAATGATGAATAAATTTTTTTATTAACAATCTTTATTCTTTACTATAACCAAGAAAAATGTAAATCATTTTCCAAATGATTTCAATCATGAACGCAATCGCTGCCGCCAATAAACCGATAATGAAGATGACGAAAAGACTTTTCAAATGAACCAATTCAAAAGCAATTGTTTGCCGATTAAATGAATCACCAATTATTCGTTCTCTAACTCTTGTTAGAATTTGATATTCTCGTTCATGCCAATAATCAAAGAATCCAATACTTGTTAAATGTTGGATACTGTAATTAGAAAAAAAAACATATCAATAAAAGAATTAAAAGAAAAAAAATCATGGATTCTTTTGTAAAATTATTATTAGACATACGTTGTATCAAATTCTTTTACATAGGGAAAGTTTTGTCTCATTGGTATGGATAATATATCTATAAATAATGAAGAATCAAAATTTTCTGGTGGTATATGAAAGAATTTTTCTCCAGACATTATTCTATGATATAGCAATTTTTTTCGTTCGGCTATAAATGCTACACGTGGCAATTGTTCACTATTATTTCTAACCAATTTGAATCCTTCTTTAGCATCTCCAACGACTTGTGAATTTTTTCCAATATCTAATGGAAAATTCTGAAAAGTTCAAATTAATGATTTTTCATTTTTTATTGATGAATTTGGTGACAAACCTTTACAATAGAAGTATATAGAGAATTGGCAACGGTCACAACGAACATTTCATCTGATTGAACTTCATGATATAATTGAAGAACTGAATCTATTTCATCAGGAATTTCTGGCACAGTAATCAATGAATAGAACTGCCCTGCATAAGCGGTTGAAAATATAAACATTCCAATATTCCAGCAAATGATCCATGATAGAAATGGTTGACTAGATAAATTTGTTCTAATATTTCGTGGTTGACGAAATAACAACACTAAACTGGCCCAGAAAAGATCAGATTTTTGATCATATTTCTTGATAATACGATCTAATATGATACATATGGAGATACACAGAATAAAAGAATGCCATACGGATGTTTCAAATGGTTCGATTAAAAAATGTCTATAATAATCATTTATTGATGCTGCAGGTGTTGTGAATGTTACTGGATCCATTTGATGTGGATATAAAAATAAAACAGCTTCATTTCGTTCATGATTGATGCTCACACCACCAATGCCGAAATCAGCATTTTGTCCAAACAACAATCCAATCAGGCCATTCCAAGTGCCATTTTCATTTTTATGTCCCCAATTTCGGTGGCAATTAACCAATTTATATGTGAAATTAAAATATAAACTTAATGTTTCCAAAAGACGAGTTTCTGAACCACCAACTGTAAACCATTTTTCGAATTCATCGTCTACACGTAAAAAAGTATATGGAGCATTCTGTTTGAAATTTTAGAACAAAAAAAAAATTCCATTATATTTGATCAGGTTCGAGAATAGAAAAAAACAAACATACCTCGTTGATGCCAACTGTTAAGGTTTTATTTTCAAAATTCAACTTCATTATTGCCGTTTTGTTCAAACAATGTTAAATGAAAATAGTAATGGCAAAAAGTTTGTGAGTTTGTGAACATGTCATGTTGATTTTTATTATTGATCAATCAAAAATTACCAATTGTAAGAGAAAAAGACCTATAGAAACATAACATAAACGTTGCACTTGCATAAATCGTGCACCCATTGGAAATCGATCAATAATGTTTACAAGTTTTTTTTTTGTTCATATATTCTTGTATATATTATGGAACAGAATCATCTCTTTATTCACAAAATACATAATTATGATTTATCAATAATAAAGAGAATAATAATAAATTAGTCTCGGAAGAAATTCATAGATTTTTGAAAAGGTAAAAAAAAACTGAATCGATCGATGAAAGATTTTTTTTTGTCAGAAAAAAATACATGTCATCTTATGGGACAGAATAAACGCCAAAAAAATTCAATGGCAAACATTATGATTGAAACTAGAATCGATTGAATATATACCATGAAAAAATTATTCAATTGATTCAATGTGAATGCCATTTTTTTTGTCATCAATGGGGTTGTATTGGCTTTTCGTTTACCTTTCAATTCGATATAACATTCTTGTTGCCAATGGTTTAATAAACCGGAAGAAAATAGGCGTTTTTGTCTAAACAGTAAAAAAAAATCATTATTATTATAATAATTGTTTGATTGTGATTAAATCACACTTACATTTGATTGAATTCATTATAAAATGAAAAATCTGTACGTAAAGGTATGGCTAAAATATTTGAATACATTTGCGAAAATGAACTTTCGGATGGTAGATAGAAATATCTTTCGCCAAAATCAGTCCGAGCAAATTGAAGTGTTTCACGTAAATCTATATAAGCATAAGGTGTTTTCGTTTTATTAATAAATGAATCACGTATCATTTTCATTGCCGAAATTGTATTTGGAACGGTTTTCCAGATATCATCAATTTCATTGGTTGAATTTCCAATCCAATCCTATTTATTTTGAATAAATTTTTTAAAAAAAATTATTGCAATCTGAATAAGCCAAACAAACCTGAAAGTATTCGATATATCTAGGTTCATCCAAACTTGTTGCAATAATCTGTCCAGAATGAATTGCATTGAATAATTGTTTGATAGTATCGATGGTCATGGAATATGATGGTGCTGCAATCAATGAATACAAACAACTAGAATATGCGATACTTAGAACAAACATTCCCAGATTCCATGATATCATCCAAATTGATATGTATGATGGAAAGGACAATTTTTGATAAGAATTTTGATGAAATAATTGAGCAAAGCTTATCCAGAATAAATCAATTTTTTTCCAATTATATTGTCTTTGTATACGATCAAAAATGAAACAAATTAATAGTGCAAAAATTAATGAATACCAAACAAAAGAAGCGAATGGACGATGTAAAACTTGTGTTGAAATGATTCGTGGTGCTTGCGTTACAAATGTAACCGAACTTATACAATGTGGATAAAGAAATGGTAATATAATTGATTTATTATAATCAAAACTTATGGCACCGATTCCAATATCTATTTGCTGTTTTTTTTAGGAAGAAAAAAAATTATAAAGATAAAATTTAGAAAAAAAAATTCAACCTGATCAATCAGTGATCCAATTAAACCGGTCCATGATCCGTTACGATGTTTTTGGCCAACAATTTTATTATAATTGATAAAATTTATTGAAAAATTAAAATATGAAGCCATCGCTTTGATTAGTCCCATTTCGGATCCACAATCCATATGAAGATATTCTTTATCAAGTAGGGTATAAGGTGGAACCTTGAAAATTTTATAATTAATTTTTTTTCATTAATTAATCAATTAGTAATTACATTACTGACCTCATTCACACCAATTGTCAACGTATTGTTTTGTAGATTTAATTTCATTGCCAATTCTGTGATGAATTAATGAATCATCATCACTCATGTAACAATTGACAAATATTGCAATATCAGTGGACGAGAAAGAAAGAGAAAAAAGTTCTCTATAGTGGAAAAAAAATCTTATTGATTCAGCAAAAAAAAAAAAAAAAAAAATATTCCAATCAATTTTGTTGTTTTTGTTTGTTGTGATATTTTTTTTTCTCACAAATCAACGTAAAAAACATACAAACAATTTCCGACTAATGTCGGAAAATGCCATAATAATCCATGTGTAATTACATTTTCAAGAGTATTTTTTTTTGTTGTTGTTGTCAAACCAGAGAAAAAATTTATACGTCAAGCTAACACATTCCAAAGAATCAAATACGATTGTTCATTATGAATTGTTTTCAGGTGAAATAATTATCATATATTTAAATATAATTAAATCGATATTCATATTCTATTTATATTCGATACAAAACTAGAATCGATTTATCGATTAAAAATTACAGAATTCTGCATAATTTTTCATGGCAATGATTTTCATTAAATTCTATGATAGCCATAGGTTAATCGTAAAGCTATCTCCATGGTAAAAACCATGATCGAAATTATTATGCATTGAATATAAACCATGAAAAAACTCTTCAATTGATGAATTGTAAATGCTTTTGGTTCGTAAGCAGATAAGTAGCTAATTTTGTAAGCGATATTTTTTTTTCTCAATACATCATAATAATCCATTTGCCCAAAGATTCATCAATCCATTAGTGAATAGACGTATTTGTCTGAAAGTTGAAAAATATTGATATTTGAATCCAATAAATTAAAAACTTACGCTCGATTAAATATGTCGTAATATAAGAAACCGGGACGGACAGGAATGCCAATAATTTCAGTAAAAAGTGAAGACTCAGGTCTTTGGGATAAATATAAATATTTTTCACCAAAATTTGATACACCATATCGAAGTGTTCCTCGTAGACCAATGTGGGCATGTGGCAATCTTGAATTTTTTATCAGTTTGAAACCATCCCTTGTTAAGTTAACGGGTTTCCAATACTCAATAAAAACATCGCCGAGCCAATCCTTTACGGAAAAATTCTTTAAATATTATGAATAAATTTTAAAAATATCCAAACCCTGTAAAAATTCACATATTGAGAAGAATTAAAACTTGTTATAATGATACGACCCGATTTAATTTCCGTATATAGTTGATTGGCAGTATCGATAGTTTTCGAATATGATGGAACTGCAATCATCGAATAAAGACATCCCGCATAGGCAATTGTAAGTATAAATGATCCAAAATTCCATAAAATTATGTAAATTGATATATGACGTGGAACATTCATTCTATGGAATGAATCCTGATGAAACAATTGCACCAAACTTATCCAGAAAAGATTTATTTTATTTTGATTGAATTTTCGTTGTACATGATCGAATACATAACAGACAAACAATGTAATCAGAAATGATAGCCAAACGAAAAGAGGAAATGGTTGAAAAATCAAATTATGGCTGGATAGAATTCGAGAAGGAGCTGCAGTCACAAATGTAATAGAAGTTGTAGTTTGTGGATATAGAAACGAAACGGCTTTCCAACGATCAAAATCAACCAACGTGCCACCGATTCCAATGTCGATTTTCTAATTGGTAATAATAATTATTATTGTTCAACAGTTCAAAGAATCACAAACTTTATCAATCAATAGGCCAATCATTCCATCCCAAGAACCATTTGGATATTTCATACCCCATGATAGTCCACAGTCGACCAATCGATATGAGAAATTGAAATACGAACCAAGCGTCTCAATAAAAATGCTTCAGATCCAAGAGTTAATTTTAAAGATGATGTTGAGAACATTGAGAATGGTGGATTCTTTAAAGATAATCATTGAAAATTTTTGAATTGAATCATTGAAAATCAATTAATAAATTAATTAATCAATACCCCATTTATTCCTATGGTAAATGTTTTATTCTGCAAATTCAATTTCATTTTGTCGTTCTGAATGAAAAAAAAATTCGAGTGTATCATATGATCAACTGATCGAACAAGAATAAATGAACAAGGGAAAAAATTTGTATGAACGGTCAATCAAAAATCCACAAAATAAACCAACCCCTCAGAAACCATTCAGAATATTTTTGCAAATAGAAAAACAGGAAATTCTTCAGACATTCGATAAAAAAACTCAATTATTCGTGTCTATTATATTGTGATTGTTATTGATTTTTTCATTAAATGTTTAATACATGAAACAATTATTTTGCTATGGTGTAAATAATAATTAAGAAACAGAAAAAAAAACATTCCACTGATGACAAATTGAAGAAAAATTAAATAGATCGATGTATAGTAGAGGTCAATTGCCATGCCACTTATAGGAATAAAGAGTATAAAATGGCTTGAATGTAAAAAAAGAAAAAAACTTTTCAATTGATTAATATTGAAAGTTTTTGCATCGTTCTCAGCATTGACTTGAAATGAATGTAATTGCAAACGTGAATAACGTTGAAAATATACTGTTCGGTGGTATGAAAAAAGAGGATTTTTCGCTTATTTGTATCGTTCCAAATTCAAGTGTTTCACGTTGATCTATATATACGCATAATGAACTTTCGTTTTATTAATAAATGAATCACGTATCACTTTGATTGCCGTGGATGTATATGGAACGGTTTTCCAGATATCATCAATTTCATTGGTTGAATTTCCAATCCAATCCTATTTATTTTGAATGAATTCAAAAAAAAAAAAAATTATTGACATTTGAATAAGCCAAACAAACCTGAAAATATTCGATATATCTATGTTCATTCATACTTGTTACAATAATCTGTCCAGAATGAATAGCAATGATTTTATTGAAATTCTATGATAGCCATAGGTTAATCGGAAAGCGACCTCCATGGTAAAAACCATGGTCGAGATTATTATGCATTGAATATAAACCATAAAAAAACTATTCAATTGATGAATTGTAAATGCTTTTGGTTCGTAGGCAGATTTAATTTTGTTCACTATCAATCTATTTCTGAATATGTCATAACATCTATTTGTCCAAAGATGCATCAATCCATTGGTGAATAGACGTATTTGTCTGAAGGTTGAAAAATATTGATATTTGAAACCAATAAATTAGAAAACTTACGCTCGATTAAACATGTCGTAATATAAGAAACCGGGACGTACAGGTATGCTAATTATTTCCGTGAAGAGTGAAGACTCAGGTTGTTGGGGTAAATATAAAAATTTTTCACCAAAATCTGCTACACCAAATTGAAGTGTTTCTCGTAGACCAATGTGGACATGTGGCAATCCTGTATGGGCTGAATTATTTACCATTTGGAAACCATCAAATGTAAAATGAATGGGTTTCCAATAATCAATAGAAACATCGCCGAGCCAATCCTTTGCGGAAAAATTCATTAAATATTATGGATAATTTTTAAAAATAACCAAACCTTGTAAAAATTCGCGTATTGAGAAGAATTAAAACTTGTTATGATGATATGACCAGATTTAATTTCCGTATATAGTTGATTGACAGTATCAATAGTTTTCGAATATGATGGAGCTGCAATCATTGAATAAAGACATCCAGCATAGGCAATTGTAAGTATAAATGATGCAAAATTCCATAAAATTATATAAATTGATATATGACGTGGAAAAGTCATTCTACGGAATGAATCCTGATGAAACAATTGCACCAAACTTATCCAGAAAATGTTTATTTTATTTTGATTGTATTTTCGTTGGATATGATCGAATATATAACAGACAAATAATGTAATCAGAAATGATAGCCAAACAAAAAGAGGAAATGGCCGAAAAATTAAATTATGGCTTGATAGAGTTAGAGAAGGAGCTGCAGTCACAAATGTAATAGAAGTTGCTGTTTGTGGATATAGAAACGAAACGGCTTTCCAACGATCATAATCAACCAACGTGCCACCGAGTCCCATGTCGATTTTCTAATTGGTAATAATCATTATTAAAATTTATTCAAACAATTCAAAGAATACAAACTTTATCAGTCAATAGGCCAATCATTCCATCCCAAGAGCCATTTGGATATTTCTTACCCCATGATAGTTTACAGTTGACCAATCGAAAGGAGAAATTGAAATACGAGCTAAGCGTCTCAATAAAATGTGCTTCAGATCCACGAGTTAATTTTAAAGATGATGATAAAAACATTGTGAATGGTGGATTCTTTAAAAGATAACCATTGAAAATTTTTAAATTGAATCATTGAAAATCAATTAATTAATTAATCAATCAATACCGCATTTATTCCTATGGTAAATGTTTTATTCTGTAAATTCAATTTCATTTTGTTGTTCTAATTAAAAAAAACTCGATGAACAGGAATGTGTATCATATGATCAACTAATCGAACAAGAACAAATGAAGAAGGGAAAAAATTTGTATGAACGTCCAATGAAAAATCTGCTCACAAACCATTCAGAAAATTATTGCAAATAGAAAAACAGGTAATTCTTCAGATATTCTATAAAAATTCAATTATTCGTGTCTAGTATATCGTGATTGTTATTGATTTTTTCATTGAATGTTTATCACGTGAAACATTTTGCCATGGTCTAAATAATAATTATGAAACAGAAAAAAAACACTCCACTGATGGCAAATTGAAGAAAAATTAAATAGATCGATGTACAGTAGAGGTCAATTGCCATGCCACTTCTATGACTAATATGAATAAAGAGAATAAAATGGTTTGAATGTAAAAAAGAAAAAAACTTTTCAATTGATTAATATTGAAAGTTTTTGCATCGTTCTCAGCATTCACTTGAAATGAATGTAATCGCAAACGTTCATGAAAATAAACATTTTGAGTCCAATAATGAATAAGACCTGAATAAGAAATTCGTTTCAAACTTTTTGGTGTAAATTAAGATTTTTTCAATTAAATTTAAAATAATCGAATTGAATAAAAATTTTTACTCACATTAAATTGTGAATAATAAGGGAAATCAGATCGTACAGGAATGGCAACAAGATCGGTGAATAATGTTGCAAATATATTGTTCGGTGGTATGTAAAAGAATTTTTCGCCTATTTGTATTGTTCCAAATTTAAGTGTTTCACGTTGATCTATATATGCATAAGGTGTTCCTGATATACGAGAAATATTCACCTTTGCCATTGCTCGATAACCAGACGTAGATGTATTCCAGACACGATCGATATCAACAGTGGTTTTAGCATCACCTAACCATTCCTATTGAAAAAAATTAATAGATTTGACGATGAATTTTATCCGAAAATAAAAAATAAAAAATTCCATCATCAAAACCTTAAATATGTTGATGTATACTGAACTATTTCGACTTGAAGCAATTATTTGACCAGATCGAACAGCAGAAAATAATTCTTCGATAGTATTGATAGTTTGTGAATACGATGGAATAGCTATTAGTGAATAAAGACAACTTGCATATCCTGTTGTAAATATGAACATTCCGAATGTCCAAAATATTATCCACAGTGATTGATGGAAATGATTTATTGATTTCTGCAAATAATTTTGTCGACATAATTGAACAAAACAAATCCAAAACAGATTGGATTCTGTACGATTGAATTTCCTTTGTATTCGATCGAATATGAAGCAAATAAATAATGCAATAATAAATGAATACCATACATTGATACTGTATGGACGAAACATTTGTTGACTATTCACAATTCTGGGCGCTGGTGTAACAAATGTAGTTGAACTAAGAGAATGTGGATACAAAAATGAAACCAGCCGTAAACGATCATATGACATACTGATTCCACCAATACCAATATCAACTTTCTGGCCAATATTTGTGTTATATATGACAGATGTATTTATTCATTCAATTTAGCTCTATGAAACAATCAAAAAAGAAAATTTATTGACTTACCTTTTCGAATAATCTAGCAATCGTTCCATCCAAAGAAATGTTCGAATTTTTTACATTCAATTGTCGATAAATTTGATAAGTAAAATTAAAATACGAACTCATCATTTCAATAATTTTTGCTTCAGAACCGCGTTTCAAACACCAAGTATTCTCACAACGTGCCATAGGAAGTAAAAATGGAGGATGCTTAATCATCATCATCATGTTAATTTTATTGTTTAATGTGTTAATATAAATAACAAATAATAATCACACATACCGGTCTGGCTTCAATAATAAATGTTTTGTTTTGCAGATTCAATCTCGTTTTATTTTCCATCTTTAAAAGAATTCAGATCAGTAAAACGATCAGTTCATTGCATTCAATGACACATTTCAATTGGAGAAAATCTTTGGACAATTATTCTGATATTACAAAGAATAGTTTCAAACTTTTATTATTTGGTTAATTATCAATACCAATCAATCGATAAATAAAAGAAAAAAAATATTAATTATTGAGTGAAGAACTTTTACTGGATATTAAAAAAAATCATATTACAAGTAATATGATTGATTTTCTGCTATATAATATAAATGATCAGATTGATAATTTTCAATGAAAAATTCAAATTGAACGCTCATTATATCGTCAAGTGAAATTTTCAAACACAATCATACATACTGAACATTCACATTTCATTTATCATCATTCCAAAAGCAAATAGTGGATCAAATTTTAAACAAAAAAAATTTTAAATTTTTATTTATTTAAACGTAGCCAAATAATTGTTTTGACAAAATTTCAGCAATATTATAATTGATTTATATATATTAAAATCATTGATTGGAATTAATTATAATCAAACAAGTGTTTATTTTCCATGAGATCATGAAATCAAAAAAAAATTGTAATTTCAACCTTCAGGTTTCAATTTGTGTACTAGTCGTTTTTTTCGCCAACATTGTTTTTCATTGTGGCCATCACGTTCACAGAAAATACATTTTAGCCGTATTTTTGGCTCTTGTTTTTCAATGCTTTTGGATTCTGAATTTTTTTCTGGATTGGAAAGCAATTTTGTTGTACTAGTTGATGGTTGTACTTCATTTTCGAAATGTTCAGTCAATGTTGTCCACATTTGATGAGAAGTTTTACAATCTTTGATTAATGGTACTAAAGAATCATCGACCCAAAGACCAATTAACGAACGTATTTTAATATCATCATTTGGTTGTGATAAATCACCATCGTTCACCAATGGCCACATTTCCATATGTTTTAATGCCAATTCTACTTTCCATTTCCAAATTGGCCAGTTATTATCAGTTAATGTTGGAACATGTTCAAAAAGTTTCAATGCAGCTATATCCATGATTCAAATTAAATCTTTCGAGAATATAAAATCAAAGAAAATATAGAAAAAATTATGATTATACATAAACTCGAGAATGAATTGGAAAGATATTTCCACCCAGGATGATTTCCATCTCAGATGATGATTCAGCGGCTATTTTGATCCAATTTTTTTTAAAGATTATTGTTTTACACGTTGTCAAAAATATATTAATGAATGAATGACGTTGACCATTTCTTCTAAAAAATAACTTTTAATATATTGAATCCCAAACATGTGATAACGGAAAAATTATTTAATATCTGAATGTTAAACTATAGTCAATTATTGGTCCTAAACGATGGCCAAAACGGCTTATTTGGGACTTAAAATTGTCATCCTTTGTCTACTATGGTATATTACATCGGCTGCCAATAATGTTATCGGAAAATTAGTGCTACAATCATTCGCATATCCAACGACAATTACTTTGTTTCAATTTTTATCGATCACCATATATTCCATACCAGCATTACGTTGTATTCCCGGTGCCAAAAGAAAACCAATAATAACATGGACTTATTATTTTAAATTGATTATACCATTATCTTTTGGTAAATTTTTTGCATCACTTACCTCTCATATAAGTCTTTGGGCCGTTCCAGTATCATACGCTCATACCGGTAAAGGAAAAAAAATATGCAAATAATAATAATAGCCATTAAATCTTAATTTATTCTTTAGTGAAAGCATCAATGCCGTTGTTTGTTGTTGTACTTTCTCGTGTTATATTGGGCGAAAAGCAAACTACCAAAGTGTACATCTCTTTGATACCAATTATATTGGGAGTATTTATTGCATCGATTACAGAATTAGAATTCAACATAATTGGACTTGTTGCCGCTTTGTTTTCAATATTTATTTTTTCATTACAGAATATCTATTCAAAAAAGGTCTGTTGAATAATCATAATCATCTATCTTAAGTCATAATTAATTTTTTTCATTATTTATTCTAAATCAGGTACTGAAAGAAACGCCCATCCATCATTTACGTTTACTTTATATACTGGCCAAACATGCATTAATTATGTTCATACCGTTTTGGGTTTATCAAGATTTACCAAGTATTATTTATGGTGAAAAAAATTCCACTATTGATGGCTGGGCCATTGGTAGTCTATTATTCATGGATGGTCTTTGTAACTTTCTACAGAATGTGATTGCTTTTACAATGTTATCGTTGGTCACACCATTGACATATTCTGTTTGTAATGCATCAAAAAGAATAGCTGTTATATCTTGTTCGATTTTGTTGCTCAAAAATCCCGTTACAATGACCAATATTTTTGGAATGTCTTTAGCAATTTTTGGTGTTTTCTACTATAACAAGGTTTTTATTTCAAAATCTAATTTTACATCAATGTGTAAACACAATTCTAATATCCATTTTAATAACAGGCTAAACTTGATGCTCGAAACGAACCAATCTTGCCCACTACATCAAATCCAAAAGAGGCAATAAACAATTTTCAAACGACAATCAAAAAAAAATCCAGCGATACAAATTTATTATTACGTTATATTGACACGAATGAACAGGAACGATACTTTACAAAACCAATTGTGACGGCAATAAATCCTCATCCTCATCATCATTACAATCAATCAAGTCAATCGTCAAATTATTATAATGGTAACTTGTCAAACAATCATTATCATCATCGAAATGTGTCACATAATCATGTTGATAATGTTGATGGTGATCATCGACGAATAGATATGATGCATATTTAGAACGAAAAAAAAAATCATTTTTATTCATGAAACCTGAACTGTGATTTTTATTATGTAAAATGAATTTTTTTTTGTCGTCACTCAATGATTATTATTATAATATTTACACACATTGCAATCATTCCTTTTCTCTAGCTTTTTCAATCAAAATTCGTAGTCGAGAATCTTCTTCAACATCATTGGCGGTTACTTTTCTATTCGAACAGCCTGAAACCGGACATTTGATTGTACTGTTCAGGAAATATATGAGAATAAGAGATATTTTTTTTTTTAATAAATCGTTTTTTTCTACAATAATAACAAACCTATTATTTCTGAATAGATTGAACAAATTTTCTTTATCATAAAGATGGCCACATTGTTTATTACGAATTGGAATATTAATTTCGGTTCTACATATCGGATCAATGGGTATGGTAAATTCTTCTGATTCCATCATTTCGACATCATCACTAATGTTTTGTTCTGATTCATGATGATCATCATCGTCGATCCAACGAAGTAATTTTCTATAGGCATCATGATTGTTAATATCAAAGGTATTATTTTGAAGGGATTGTTGAAAGTGTTCATCAAATTCTTGTTCTATATCAGCATATTTATCCATTTGTCCAATAATATCCGATAGCTGATCGGGATCTTCCGATGTGCGCTGTTCAGATTCAATCTTTTTTAAAAAAAAAATACAAAATTATTCCATTAAAATAAATTCGAAATTTAAAAAACTCAATAAATATACCTGATTGATGATTGATCGTAAAACTTTATATTGTAACCTGTATTGATGTTTAGAATTGAGAATTATATTCATTGTTTCTTGCAATAGTTGTTTGTCATTATCATCAAACTTGGTGCCATATTTAATTTTATCTTCGAACAATTGTTCGCCAACAACTAAAACACATTCAATAGCTTGATCAATTGCTTCACTTAATGGAGTGAAATCATCATCATCATGTTCAATAGTTGCATAAGACATTTTTTTTGTTGATGAAAATTTTTGTTTTGTTTTCGCGAAAAGGAAAATTTATTTCATCAAAAAATACATACTCGAACACGCAGAAGAAAAAAACGCGGCGCGGACCAAAAAAAAAAATAAATTTTATTTTATTTACAAAAATAATCGTTCATAAAAAACGTTACATTCAACATTTGCCACAATCATACAAGTTTTTTTGATGATAGAAAAAAAAATATCAAATTCTTAAATATATCAAGTTCTAATTTTCGAACAATCGAAAAACCAATCACTATGGAAAACTTTTTCATTCATTATTCATTCAATGATTATACGTACGTTGCATTGCAAGCCGGCCGATCACTGTATGACGATTCTGTATTAAAAATTAGACAAATTGATGAAAAAAATGACACAAAATTCAATAGATCAATCAAAAGATTTGCTCATCAGTCTGGCAAAAAATCTTAATTATCGTGTTGCTCAAGAAAATGGTCAACGTATTTTCGGCCCACCATTAGATTGGAATGAAGAATCGATAATATCGGAAAAAGGTACCGAAGTTTTTGTTGGTAAAATTCCACGCGATTGTTTTGAAAATGAATTGATTCCATTGTTTGAAAAACCGGGCCGTATTTATAAGATGAGATTGATGATCGATTTTTCAGGAAAAAATCGTGGTTACGGATTTGTGCAATATTTTAATAGAAAAGATGCACAACGAGCTATAGAAATGTTGAACCATTTTGAAATTCGTAAACGATGGCCAATCGGTGTGATGCTTTCGCGTAACAATAATCGTTTGTTTTTCGGTAATCTTCCCAATGACATTACCAAACAGGAAATGATTGATGAGGTTGCCAAACATACTTCGGGTATAATTAATGCTATCTATTATGGTGGTTCTACTCGAACAAATGGATTTGGTTTTGTTGAATACGAAAATCATAAAATGACTGCTTTGGCTCGGCGAAAATTTTTTCCTGGCTCTATCCTGTTGTTTGATCGCCAGCCAAAAGTTGATTGGGCCAAATCGGAAGAAGAAATTGATGATGATTTTGCATCCAATGTAAGTGACAAATTGTTTTCGATAAAATTATTATCAAATCAAATTTTTTCTTTATTCCAGAATTCAGTACTTTATGTACGTTTCATTAAACCAGATATAACTGAAGAAAATCTAAAGAAATTTTTCTCATTCATTAACAATGGCCAAACTTTACTTAATATAAATCGTGTCAAAAAGATTAGAAATTTTGCCTTCATCCATTATGAAAATCCTAAAGATGCTCAAATGGCTTATAGTTATTTCCACAGTAAGTTTATTAAATTAAAACAATATATATAGTGAAATGTTTGAATATATTGATCTAGGAATAGAAATTAATCTAGGACAAACAATGATCAACGAAATTGATCAAGAATTGGAGATTAAATGGGCTAAAAATAAATCAATCCATTCGTCATCCGTATCACCAACCAATTGTATGCGATCACCGAGAAGCAAAGAATTTTCTTCACAACCACCAAGATATTATCGAGATTCTAATAGAAAAAGTTTTGATGAATTTAATAATTATCTTTGTGATGGTGGTGATAGACCAATGAAACATTTTTTTAGCTGTAATGGTGATTCAACAACTGCCATCGACAACAACATCAACATTGGTGCAATGAATTTTAATCAATCTAATTTTATGCATCCATATACGTTTGTTTTGAATCCATTAATTTTTAATGCACCTGAAATTATTTTCACTTGATTTTTTTTTTTAAAATTTTCATTTGTCGTAATTATTCTGATGTTTGCGAATAAAATAAAATTTTAAATTTAAATTAAAAAAACGTCATTTATGAATAGACATTTTATCAGGTTTTTTGGCGCGCTAAATTTTGCAACCTGCATGCTCAATATATTGGCTTTACTGTCATTGTCTTTGTTCTGTGTGAGTTTTAATAAAGCTGCTCTTTAACATTTCACATTTAAATTCATTTCATTTATCTTCAAGCCATAATAATGGATGTTTCTGAACATCGTACAGCTCAAGTATCGCAAGTGAAAGATGAATTTGCCGAAAAGGTTCAAAAATTATTTAAATCATTTCTTTTGGAATATGTGAATGAATCAGAATCGAATGTATCAAATGTGAAGCCAAAATATTATGATGAAACATTGGCATTGATCAAACCTGAGCGTAACACATTGTTTGTTGATTATCGTGATATAATCAATTATAATCAAAATCTGGCTAATGATCTCAAGACGGATTTTTACCGTTTTTATCCATATCTATGTCGTGCATTGGTTTCATTCATCAACGATGAAAAACATCAAACAATGGAAGGAATGGACCAGATTACATCAAGATTGATTATGAATAAAGAATTTTATATCGGTTTTTATGGTATTGCTGAACGAACTAAACTTCGTAGTTTACGAGCAATTAAATGTTCACAATTGGTCAAAATTGTTGGACAAGTTGTTCGAACACATTCTGTTCATCCTGAATTGATTTCGGGCACATTCGAATGTATGGATTGTGGTACGGAAATTCCAAACGTTGAACAACAATTCAAATATACATTGCCTACGATTTGTCAGAATCCAATGTGCAACAATCGTAGTAAATTTCGTTTACTCTTGCACAAAAGTCGTTTTGCTGATTTCCAGAAATTACGTATTCAAGAACTTCAAGCCGATTTACCTAGAGGTTCAATTCCTCGTAGTATCGATGTCATTATTCGTGGTGGTGATCGTGTAGAATGTGTGCAACCGGGTGATCGTGCCGATTTTATTGGATGTTTAATCAGCGTACCTGACGTTGCTCAATTGATTGCTGGTTCGGCTGGATTAATCAAATCTGATAGTGGTGCTACTGGTGATGGTATTCGTGGTCTTAAAGCTTTAGGTGTACGAGAAATGACACACAAATTGGCTTTCATGGCTTGTTCAGTCATTTTGGAAGGTTCTGAATTACCGATTCAATTAGAAGAACGACAAAAATTCGAATCAGATCATATGGAACAAAATTTTGTGATGTTCAAAGAGAATGATTTACATCGAATCGAAGAAATGTCCCAGGATAAAAATCTCTTCAACAATCTTGCCAAATCTGTTTTTCCTTCAATTTTCGGTAATGATGATATTAAGAAAGGCATCATTCTTCAAATGTTTGGTGGTACTCCAAAAATAACTGAAGAAAACACCAATCTTCGTGGTGACATAAATATTTGTATAGTTGGAGACCCTAGTACAGCTAAATCACAGTTCTTGAAGATTGTATCGAATTTTGCGCCCACCAGAGCCGTTTATACAAGTGGTAAAGCATCCACAGCTGCCGGTCTTACAGCAGCCGTTGTTCGTGACGACGATGGTGGATTTGTTATTGAAGCTGGAGCTTTGATGCTTGCTGACCAAGGCATTTGTTGTATTGATGAATTCGACAAAATGGAAATCCGTGATCAGGTCGCCATTCACGAAGCTATGGAACAGCAAACCATTTCGATAACGAAAGCTGGTGTTAAAGCTACATTGAATGCTCGTGCTTCAATTTTAGCTGCTGCAAATCCAATCAATGGTACCTATGATCGTGCAAAATCGTTACGAAAAAATCTTTCTTTTTCATTGCCTATCATGTCTCGTTTTGATTTATTTTTCGTATTGCTTGATGAATGTAATGAAACAGTCGATTATGCCATTGCTGACAGAATTATTGATCAACATCTTCAATGTAGTGGAAATAAACCATCCAATAATGATGACACAGTATACACATTGGATGAGGTTCGAATGTACATAAAGTTTGCCAAACAATTCAAACCGAAAATGATACTGGAATCAGAAAAATATCTGGTGGAAACATACAAACATCTAAGATTGAATGGTTGTGGTGAAACAGGTGGTGGTGTTTTCAAAAGTAACAAACAATCATGGCGAATCACTGTTCGTCAATTGGAATCATTGATTCGATTGTCAGAAGCTATTGCTCGTCTTCATTGTTCAAATATTGTCGAAGTGAAACATATTAAAGAAGCATCACGTTTATTGAATAAATCCATTGTAAGAATTGATCAACCAGACATAAGTTTATTGGATGAGACAACCATGTCACAATCTGAACAAACTGATTCCAATGTTGTTGATTCTCAATCTCAGAATGAATCAATAAGTTGTTTGAAAATATCTTATGAAATGTATCAAACAATAACAAATCTGTTGGTCATCAAGTTACAACGAGAAGAGGCAAGAATTGAAGCCGGTGAAAGTGAAGGTTTCCGTAAATCACAACTAATCGAATGGTACTTGGAACAAATTGAAAATGAAATCGAAACCCAAGTTGAACTGATACAGAGAAAAATGATTTGTGAAAAAATCATTGATAAATTAATCACTGTCGATCATATTCTTATCGAACTTAAATCGCCTGTATCTCAAGAAATGGAAAATGAACAAGAAAAAGTTGAACCTGATAATATTCTTGTCGTACATCCTGATTATGTAATCGATGATATTTGAATAATAATCTATTTTATTTTATAATTTTTTCTCTTATGATTTGAAAATAAAATTTATGATGACTAGTTTTTATTCAAGGTCTATTTTTGAATTTTCAATAATTTTTTCACTTTAGGATTCATTAGTAAAACATTTTGCACAAGACCCATTGATGATGATATAAACCAATAAAAACACATATCACTTGGCATCATCAACCCAATAGGCACAAGAGCAACACTAATCAATCGTCCACTATTGGTAAAAATTCGAACAAATAATGAATCTTGTAGATTGTTTCGACGTCGTTCATTGATATGAATCTGTATGATTGTTAAATTAACCAAACAGGTTGCAATAGGTAAAATTCCTGTTGAATCGGGTATTGTTAAATCTTTGAACCAAAATAGACCTTCATGTTGAAGTTGTTCATGTGCCATCATAATTTTTACATCATTTGGATCCGGTTGTAATAAGGCAAAGTTTCGATAACAATTGGAAAGAACTATCCACATCGGTATTTGGAATAATGCTACTAAAGTTGCCTTCATGGGATGGCAATTATCGCGTACAATTAAACGATTTATTTCACGAGTTAGCTGATTTTTAAAAAAACAATTAGAATGAATTTGATTGTTGATGATAATTACCGTTTTTCTATATATTTGTTCAGTTTTTCTTGATGATAGTCCTAATAAATAAGCTTCTTCTTTCATTTGGTTGCGTAGATTTTTCGAAAGAATTTGAATCTCAGGCCTCAACGCTTCATATCGAATCATTATTTTTCGTTGTAAAACGGTTAAAGGAAATGCAACCAGCGATCTAGCCATTATTGTGATTATTGAAATTTCCAAAAACCATGGAATATTTAAATATTCATGTAATGATATCAAACCATCCATCGTATGTCGAACAATTGATGAATTAGCAATAGGATAATTAAAATTGGCCAATGTTGATGATGATGATGATGATGTGTATCGAAATGATGAAATGTGATTATAGTGTCCATTTTTATTATTAAAACTTTTTATTAGAAAATTTCGACGATTTAAAAAATTAATGAAATTCATCATCATTTTTTCAATTAATATATACGAATTAACTGGGTGGAAATAGACACCAGTAGAATCATGAAAAACAATCGGATCGAAATAGTCACCAATGAGTGATGTGATGATGTTTTTTACTATTCTAATATTTTAACAACAATGCGCAAACGTATTTTCCCGCTTTTTAGATTCTTTGTCGTCTTTAATAACGTCTTTTTTAACAACACGCCCCTTCTACATATCGAGTTGTTTTTTTTTACCACCCCACTTATAATTGTTTATTATCACCATCGACATAATTTCGTTCCAATTTATATATTCCATAATAATAAAATAGATAATTGAAAGGTTGTTTATGTCATTTTGATTTATAAAATTTCTTCATTCTGTGCATTTTTACGTAAGTTTTTATTAATGTAATCATTGATTTTGGATTTTTTATTCTACCCAAAACATAATAGAATGATGATTTGTCATAATTTCGTTCCAATTTATATATTCCATAATAATAAAATAGATAATTGAAAGGTTGTTTATGTCATTTTGATTTATAAAATTTCTTCATTCTGTGCATTTTACGTAAGTTTTATTAATGTAAACTATTTTAATAATGGATTTTTTTTTAATAATAAATATTGTTAATTGTTTTTAAAATTTTTTACAGAATATAAAGATTTTTATATCTAAAATCAATACTGTCATACTCAATGGTTCAAATCACGTCCACAATTTCATCAAAACAAAATTGCTCATATGGACATTCATTTAGTTGTCATATTATTGATTCTTGAAAATAATTTTGAATTTGTTCAATATAACATTTTTCATTGTTGAATCAATTACCACTAGCCATTGATCATTACACATGTATGATTTTGAAACTTTTGGCGCCAATTTGGACTATTGTTTCATATATAAGTTTAAATCGAACTAGTTCGATTGATTTTAGTAAAAAAAAATATGAAATCACAAGATTTCGCTGGTCCCAGTGAACCAAAAAGTTCAAAACGATATAAAAATGGTAAATTTAATGGACAGTAAAGACATGATTAACTTTTTATTCAATTTTTTCTTAGATTCTTACTTTTTCAACGAATCATTCAATAAATCTAGAATTTATAATCTAGAATATAGAAAGAAACCGGCCGAATTGGTACGAAAAGATTTAATATCGGCTATGAAATTGCCCGATCATGAAACATTAAATCGTGATGATTATCTTCTCATTCTTGATTCTTGGCGTGAAGAATGGGAAAAAGGAGTTCAGGTTCCTGTAAATCCAGATTCATTGCCACATTCCAGTGTTGAAATGATAAGTGAAATTAATAATGATCTTCCTTCATCAAGCAGTAAAGAATTTAACCTTCCTAAAGAATGGATAACTGTATGATTTTTATATTTATCACATATTCGAAATACTCATTATGATTTTTTTCTATTACAGACGATTAATACTCCTGAGAATAACCGCCAAACATCTAGCTATGAACTTGATTTACAGGATATATGTTGGCTTCAAACCGTTCGTGAATCGGATCTCGATTTGGATCTATCACAAAATTTTCTTGAAAAAGTTATCAATCTATTTGAGCAACATTGTGCTGAAAATATTAAAGATCGTCAAGTTGGCATTGAATATGATGAGCATATTGTGTGTGATGTTTGCCAGAATCCAGATGGTGAAGACGGAAATGAAATGGTTTTTTGTGATCTCTGCAATATATGTGTACATCAAGCCTGTTATGGTATCGATGAAATTCCCGATGGTGATTGGCTTTGTAGATCTTGTCAAGAATTAGATACCAATAAAAAGAAACCTCTTTGTGTATTGTGTCCGAATGTAGGCGGAGCATTAAAACCGACAACCAAACTAAATAAATGGGCACATGTATCCTGTGTATATTGGATACCTGAGGCAAAGTTTATTGATTGTAATATACTCGAACCTATTGAAATTAAATCGATTCCAAATTGGCGATGGAATCTGGTTTGTTCGCTTTGTAATATTAAAAAAGGTGCTCCCATCATTTGTGCCGTATGTATCTATCCATTGTTATAAATGTTGACTTTATTTTCATTATCATTTTTTTTGGAATTTTGTTTAGGAAAAAAATTGTCGTTGTTCATATCATGTAACCTGTGCATTTAAACATAAGTTAAAAATGAAAATTGTTTTGACCGATGAAAAATCTGAAATTCGATTGAAATCATATTGCGAGAAACATTCAAAACAATGTACCAGCCAAAAAAAGAACAAGTATGATTTTTCTCAATTAGTTTTAATTTTATTGTTATTTATTTTATTTTGTTAATAGTGACACTAAAATTAACGAAATCGATTTTTATGCCGGTTCCATTGGAGAAAATGCTAATGAAACAGATGGACAAGATAAATTGAATGCACAACAATGTGAATTTTGGAAATATATCGATGTCAATCAAATTTGTCAAGAGGTATAATTTAGCATTTGTGTTTGTGAGAAATTTTGATTAATGAGATATTTTATTTAAACAGATCTCTCAAATCTATAACAATAATGATAGCATCATAGGAAATAATAGCGAAATTTTTTCAGTTGTTAAAAATTATTCTGTTAATCAAACATCATTGAACCAGATTGTACAGTTGATATATGAATATTGGAAGTTGAAACGTTTGGCCAATTATGGTAATTCATTGATCAAAATGACTTTCGAGGAAAAATTCCAAGAACAATTAAAATCTCACAAAAATCGAATACTTTTATTGCGTTATCATCTGGAACGATTACGAACATTAACTTATATGGTCTGTAGACGTGAGAAAATCAAGCAGAATTGGTTGAATACACAGCGTGAGATTCTTCAAAAGACATCAAATCTTGTCGACAATCCCGATCTTTCCATTAAATCGGATGGTGGTCAATCTTTATCGATGGAACATCAAAAATTATTCTCCAAAATAATAACACATCATTCAATTTATCCGGAAAAATCTGATTCTAATGTTTTAGATCGAAATTCGACCGAAAAAATGCCAGTTGCGCAACATGCCATTAATAATAATCCCGAAACTGAAGCTACGACTTCAGCCATCACAAAGCGTCGATCTTCTGAAAATTCAATAACAAATAGTTTGCTTAGACAATTAAAACGTTTAAAACGATCACCGATTTCTAAACAAAATCCATATGCAAGAGTATATTTAAATCCTACAAAATCAAGAAAGTCTACCCTATCCAATTGTAATAGTCAAGAAGAAGAAACGACCGAAGGATCATCTATCGACAAATATCATGAGATTCTTGTAAATTCTGATAAATCAGACTTTGAAGATGATAAAGTAGTAAAAAAGCAGCTGTCGAAAAATAACCTCTCAAATAATACAACTATTACACCATTACTGAAATGTTCGTATGAGAATGGTAAAAAACTTATGAATACTCAGCTACAAAAACCGATCGTTTGCCTTTCAATAAATGGCGATGAAAATGAAAATATAGATTCAAATGAAAAAATCAATAATTCGAATGGCGATATAGATCATCATCATTTTTCTCCTACATCAAAAATATCCAATTGCCGTATGATTATCCGAACGGGAACCGATGATCGTTTACCATTGTCACAGAATGGCAACAATAACAATAATAATAATCATCATCAGTACAAAAAACTTAGACATCATGATCATCCAGATTCGACCGATACATCGTCTTTGAGTAGAAAATATCCTCTTCGAAATAAAGTCAAATAAAATTTATTTTTTGTTGTAAATAAAAACTTATTTAAAATTGTTATCAAATTAATGTTTACTGAAAATTCGAATGTATCCATTGAAATCTGCAGCAGCTATTATATAACGAGCCTTTTCTTCAATTTGACCGGGTACCGATGCAAAAATGGCCGATGTAACAATCTTGGTGGCTGCAATCGATTTAGCCATCGGTGCTGATGTTGACGATGATGCTATCGATGGTGGCTGCTGAATATTAAGATCAAAACTTTCTTTTGATTTAGCCATTGATGATGATTCAACATTGTTCACTTTATTGATGATTGTGTTACCTTCTTTTGTTGTTTCCGATTGGTTAGGAATTGTATAAGTTGAATTGTTAGAATCATTTTTAACACCGGATGAAGTTGATAATTCAGTTGTAGTTGTTGTAGTAGTAGCTGGAAATACTGCAGATGGAATCGTTTGCTGTAATGGTATATTCAACAAACGTATACATTCATATTGTTTATTACGATCACGTCGCTGACCAATGGTCGAATTATCTTGGGTACGCCATAAATAAAATGAATTATTTTCAGAACCACAAATAATATATTTATGATCATGCGATACAGATGCTTTAATTTGGCTAGATTGATTAATGCAGCCTTTATATTTGCATGTTAATGACAAATCACGAAGATCATACAATCGAAGACGTGAATCATTAGTGGTGACCAATATTTTATTATTAGCATCAATACTTTCGATACCGGCTACTTTATTCGTACGGAATCGTCTAGTACCTGCACCTGTCTGGCCAGCTGATGAACCGATCGAATTTTTGCTATTCACATGTATCTGAGTGAAATATTTTAATTGATCTGTTGTATAAAAAATTATTCGACCATCATAGGTACCAATTACAGCAAATTTTCCATTCTGAACAAACGATGATGCTGTTATAAGACCATGTGATGGATTCATATCTGAATCACTAGCATTATTAATTCCACCACTACCTCGTTGGCTTGACAATGATGGAACTTCGTTCCATAATGTTACTCGTTTATCCGGTATATTCCATAAACGCAATTTTCCATCAAGTGAACCACTTAGAAAATATCTATCATCTCTTGGATGAAACTGAATAGTGGTTACGAAATCAATGTGCCTGAATGTACATAAACATTCAATTTGAGTGATGTGCCAAAGACGTACAGTTTTGTCCATCGATGATGACAAAAGAAAATGATTTTTTGACCAAGCCAAATCCAACACATCGGCAGTGTGGCCTCGATATATGGTGAAAAGTAGTAATGGACCTTCTTCAGACAAGGTATTGTCTTCATCTTTATAGAATTCTTTTGCCAATGCAGATGAATTAGATGACGAAGATGAATTGTTGTGCGAATCACAGGTATTGAGACTTCCATTGCGTGAATATGATGATGATTTTTGTGTTTGGCTTCTACCAAAAGAATCACCATTTGAACTACGTTCTCTAGTAGAATTAGGTGAAACATGCTGACCAGAAGCTTTGTTTCGTAATTGTGTAAAATATTTCCATGATTTTTGCGAACAATAAACTCTCAAAAGATGATCTTGACCAGCAGCTGCTAATAATTGACTACAATTACTGAATTTCATACACCAAATGGCTCCTTTACAATCATTGATTTCTTGTATTAATTTTAATCCTTCAAAATCAGCACTTCCTCTTTTGTGATTGACTTTTAATTTATAACGTGGTGGTGCAGGCGGTATTATATCACCTTCATTTGGATCAACATGAAATGTGGAACGTCTTTTAGCCGATGTAGCTTTCACACCTTTAACGCCTTTGATTAGACCAGAACCGATACGTTTTAAATCACGAATTTTTGATTTCAATTTTCCATCTTTATAATCACTATAATTTTTATCATACTCATCATATTCGTCATCATCATCATTAATATCAAATTCATCGTCATTTTCAATTGAATCTAATAATTTCTTTTTATTCTTTTTGTCTAGAGTTCCTTTTTTCTCGATTTTCATGTCGTTCAATGTGGAAGAAATCAATGATGTTACACTTTTGAATGTTGAATCAGCTAAACTTGTAGATGAAGTTTCCTTTTCCATTGAAGTGTTGGACATTTCTGTATTAGTCAGCTTCATCAGATGTAAACTCAATGGATTTAAACATTTGGGCATAATATCATCCGATTGGATATGTTGTATTTCTTCATTATTGGCCGTATTCATCATAACTACTTGATTCGAATCGCTTGATTGTGTGCTTTCAGTCATTAAACATTCTGGTTCAGGAGCATTGATGCTGCCACTACTACTAGGACTTGGTAAATTGTTGTCTTTAGTGATTAAATTTCTTGAAATTTCTTCAAGCTGTTCTTTAGAAAAAATGAAATCTTGTTTACTCAATTTTTTTTCTGTTGCTTTGTTAGCCATAATATCATCATGGAACGCACTTTGTTTATCACATTCAGTTATGCTTAAATCACCTTTTATACTAGCAATATCATCAAGAATGCTGGATAAATTTTGTCCATGGATTTGAAATCCATGTGTAGCAGATTCAATGGAATTAGTGACGCTTTGACTTTCGGCTGAGGAATGATTGCCTGTATTTGTTTCGCCAAGTTCATCAGAAGCTTTAGTTTTTCTGATAAAATTTTTCTTTTTTCTAGACCTTGGCGGAGGAAGTGGTGCTAATATTGAAAAGGGCTCAACGATTAAAGATTCATTTTTGATTCTATCCGACGAATTTATAGAATCAATTTTGTTTTCAATCGTTTCCATGATTGCAGGTGATTGAGATGGTTCAACATGACTTGAATTCATGGAATAAATGCCACTATCGGCCATCAATGATGATACCGGATGATTAGTGTTGTTATTATTTGATTGTATTTGTTTAGAAATGTCATTATCATTGACCAATTCCAATGGAATAACTTCAGGTGCATCATAAAATTCTTCCGAATTGGATGAATCATCTGATGAACAAGAATCAGAGGCATATTTTATTGTTTCATCTTCATTACACAGTTGTTCTTTATTATTAGACATTATTATGTGTTAATTATTATTATAGCAGAAAATAAAATGCTTAATCAATATATGATTATGATGATGATGCGTTGTTACAACACTAACATTTGATCATATATATGAAAAAATTGAAAATTAAAATTGATTAGAAAATTATTCTTGGCCAACATTATCGAAGACTTACACAATCGATTTTGGCATCCGTGAAAAAAAATGTATCCAATGAATCAAATTACAAGCTCATTCATGCATATATAATATAAAGAAAAGAGAAAAATTGTTTATGAATCATTATCATTGAATGTCGAATTGTCATCAATGGCAATTTAATTGGTATATGTAGATGTAAACAAAACGAAGCAAAACAAAACAAACAAACAAAAAAAAAATATAGCCAACTATCGAGCGTATATCATCATCATCATTTTATCATATCAGCTGAACAATAAACATAAAAAAATGAGAACGCCATCTTTCGTTATTGATTTACAAATTAAAATTTTCAAAATTCAAAATTATATACATATTTTTCCATATTTTTTCATCAATTTTATTATTCATTTCATCATAATTTTTTTTTGGAATATCATTCATATTTTATTATTCGTTTTTATTTCTGATATTTTTATCTTAGGATCATGTCGGAAATGCGTCATTTGGTTGCCACAAATATTCATATAGGTCATATATATAGACAATTAATCCATGGTGTTCCAAATCTTAATTGATGATGATGATGATGATGGTCATTGTGAATAATAAATTTTTTATTATTGTTTCCATCATTTTATTTGGTCGATTATTCTAGAATATTATGGGGATTTATTTATTTTGTGGATTCCACGTCGACGTTTTTGTTTTGTTTTGGCCATTCATATTAGATATAATTGATAATTTTTATTTTTTTTCGATGATTATTAAAAATAATCACAAGATTTCAACACAAATTCTTATTATTATGATGATGATGATTGATTGATTATATCGATATATTTGTGAGAATATTTTCATCAATTTCGGTCATTGTTTCATCCGATCTGTAGTTGTGTATATGATGAATAATTTATTTATGATGATGATGATGATGTTTTGTTATAAAAATCGATGATTGGGTTGTATATAAATACTCTGTATGTTTGCAATTTGATCCACAGAAAGAATATTATTATTGACCATTACTTAAATAATTTTTTTTTGTTTCAAGAATCACTAGGAAAAAAAACATAACAATGTTTCGACGAGAATCATTTTCAATGATGAAAATTATTCTTGTATTGTGTTTAATATGGATCTGTTTATTCAATGATGTTCGTGGCTGTTTCATTACTAATTGTCCACGAGCCGGTAAACGTTCCATTATGACTGAATCTAATTTAGGATCGAATCATCTGGCTAGAGAGGTAAGTCAATATTTTATCTTTCTTATTGTTTTATGAATTATAATTTCAATGAAAAAAAATCAAAATAAAGTGTACACGTTGTGGTCCATCATTGTCTGGACGATGTTATGGTCCGAATATCTGTTGTTCACCATTGACTGGATGTAATATTGGTGGTTTTACTGCTGCACGCTGTTCATTGGAAGCATATCATCCAATTTTATGCACGAATCCTGGTACTGTTTGCGGACCAAATGGTAAAGGTGTATGTGCATTGAATGCAACATGCTGTACAAATGGTAAATATTTCATTTGTTTTTTTTACTGCAAAAAAAATAAAAAAATTTTTCAATTACACAATTCTTAATTCAATTATTATATTATATATAGATGGCTGTTTTATTGATAAATCCTGTACACAATTATCGAACGATTCCAATGATCTTTAACTTAACTATTGCCAACACATTCCATTATTGATTGATTGATTACGATGATTGTATTTTCAAAAAAAAACAAAACAAAATCGTTGATTATTTTTCTGTTAATCATAATTTAAATTCAATTACGAACCAACAATGAGCAAGTGAATGGAAAGAGAGAGAGAGAGAGAGAGGGCAAATCAAAATTTAACACATATAAATGAATCCAAATGTTTTTATTATAATTAGTATTAAAAAAAAAATTTTAAAAATAGATTTTGCTGAACTTAAAGATTTAATAAATAAATAAATATATTGAAAAAACAACATATATAATGTCAACTAGAATTTTTAACAACAACAACAACAACAACAACAATGATGATAATGATACAATAAAAAACAATAATCAATGTCGTATATGTTATTCTGATCAAGATGAAATTGATAATAAATTAATTAGTCCATGCCATTGTAATGGTACAATTAAATATATACATTATGTTTGTCTTGTCAATTGTATAATTGCCAATAATCGTTTTGTTTGTGATATTTGTCAATGTCAACCAAATGGTATAAAAGTACGATTTGTTCAGCGATCATTTTGGGAATTTATTCGATCAAATATCGATATTTGTAATGAATTTTTCATTATTTTAATATGGTTTTTATTGATACAAATTTTTCTATTTGTAAATTATAAAGATTTTGATGGTACCAATTCAATCAATACACAACAAATGAACCAACAGCAGCAACAACAACATGATAATCATAATTATGAATCAGACATCAGATATTGGCATCATTTATTCATACAATTTTCATTCATGATTTTGTATACACTATATGTATGTACAATTTATCAAAATGGATTAAACAAAATTTACGGATACAGATTGTCCAAAATCAATAATTTTTTGTTGTTGTTGTTGTTGTTGTTCATCGATCTTTTGCATTCGTTTACAGTTGTATAGTTTTTTTATCTTTTTTATATCATAAAGACTTAATTCATAATAAAAAATTGGTTCATCTCTTATGGAGTCTATTTTTATGAAACAATCCGGATAGTAAGTAATTGATTTCATATCAAAATAATCATCAAACCATTTGGATGTATTTTTATCATCAATCGTTGTGATCCATTGTTGTTGATAATCATTATAATATTGGACATTTTTGTATGGATTACAATTCCAATCCTTATTATTAACTAAAAAGTACATGAACAAGTTTCTTGTATTGATTTAATATAATGATCACGATCAGGTCTTTGATGTTCATGAAATAAACCAACTACATGTGCCAATTCATGTGTAATGGCTCTTAATCGTTGTCTATAACCATTTTCTTCATCAAGATTTAAGGTTACAGTGGTAACATAATTTTCTTTATCCACTCCTGGTTTTGTTGAAAATTTTTTACCTTTTATAATATTCGTATAATAATATATATGATGATGATGATGATGATGATATTTTGATTCATATGGAATAAAACGTATACATGTATATTGATGAAAATTATTCATTGATTCCAATATAATATCTTTATATTTATGGGCTAATTATGAAAAACAAAATTATTTTGATTATATTAATATTAAATATTGAAAGTAAAATTTATTTACACAGATATTCATCCAATTTAAATGGAATACGGCCATTCTTCCATAGGTATATCGTATAATTCTATTATATGAAATTATATATAAGTTATTATAAATTCAAGAATTATTATTACGATTACACTCTTACATGTCTTTTATAATCATCTGCCAATGTTGTTGTTATGATGTATAAGTTAAAAATCAAGAAAAAAGACAAAAAGATTTTTGAAGCCATATGAATTTAGCCATAATTTATAATAATTATTCAATACAAAAAAAAATTGATGATTTAGTTGCTTAAAATAATGGATAATGGAATTTTTATATAAATCATAATCAATGGGGTTGGGGTGTTCCTGATGAGATAAAAAAAAAATGAAAAAAATTTTTTTCCTTTAATAATGCGCAGTAATTTTTTTTTCTGTTTCGTACAATTGTCTTATAAGATGATAACCAAACAAACAAACAAATACTTTCTAGCCAAAAAAAAAAAAATAAATAAATAAATAAAAAGTACCAAATGGATTTCCAAAAGATAAATGTGAGAAAAATATTATATCATCACAACAACACCATGTAATTGTTGTTGATTATATAAGTTTGTGTTGTAGTCAGTGTGAAAAAAAAAATTTTTTTTATCGATATAGATTATACATACATAAATGCGTTTGCAAATTATGAAATTATTCATTTAATGATTTTTCCATAAACACAATGTTGTTGTTTTTTTTTTGAGGTTAGAAATCTATCATTGTCATTCGTCATTCATTCAAAGTGACTTACAAATGTTTCATTGATTATCATCAAAAAAGAGAGAGAGAGAGAGAAGATTCAAGAGAAAATTAATGAGACTGACCTAAACCATGTGATATACCGATATGATGAATTTATATCTATCTCTTTATGACGCTTGTATTTATTATATAATCTATGAATAGTGATGTGATAATGATGATGGAAAACGTACATTACACACACACACACACACACATTACACATACAGAGATATAGACAAATAATAAAAAAAAAGAATGAACTCATCATGGGGCTAACTAAAAAAAATTTATTTATTTCATTCATTCATCCATTCATTACGTGACTTTAATGTTGAACATGAACAAAACCAAGAGTAAGAGCGAAGAGAGAGAGGCTTAAATTCAGACTATGAAAAAAAAAACTTTACAAACTATATATCAATGGTTTATGATACTGATATTTTGATGATGATGATAATATACCGCAAAAAATGGTAGATATTTCATGGTATATGGTGATTATCATTTACTTCCTACAATAAAATAAATAAATTTGTACATTCTCATTAATTTTTGTTCAAATCAATGATATAATATAATATATATCTCTAAAGTTTAGAGTCTAAACGAAGAAACCCAAACAAAACAAAACAAACAAAAATCGATATCAAACATTTGTAAATTTGTATTATTGTGAAATCTATAGCCAAATGAATCTGATTTTTTTTTGTTTGTTTCAAGTAAATTGTAATGAATGATAAATAATGACAATTGCTGAAATTTTTTTTTTTTTTGTTTTTGAATATCATTTCTTTTGACATAAAAAAGAGTGAGAGAGAGAGAGAGAATAATTTATTAGATTTTATTTCCACTTTGAACACACACGCATTTTTTTACATTTAATGTGTGTGTGTGTGTGTATGGATATATGTGTGGTCAGAACAACAACAACAACAACAACAACAACAACAAAAATTATAAACACGCACTAAAATCTTTTTAGAATTGAAAGAAAAAAAATGAACATGACATCAAATGGACATTGGATATTTATTATACATACATATGTGTGTGTGTGTGTATTTGAAAATTCAAATCACGCCCAAATCATTGAAAATAGCCCATACAAACAAGAAAAGATGATGAATTGATATATTACAAATAGAAGAATAAAATGCGAATTGTTTTGTTTTGTTTTGTTTTGTAGGGATGAAGATGAGAATAATGATGATATTTCTCCACCTTTTTTTGTCCAAATTTTTTTTTTTTTTTGTTGTTGAAATAAAAACGATAATTCCATCCAACACAAAACAAAACAAAACGAGCACAGGGCATTCAAATGCAAATACACAAGTTCTATATATTATTATATGTCATATATGATGATGTTGATTCGATATATTCATCATCATCATCATCATCAACATGATGCTACCATTATCATCGTTAGAGATAATTTTTTTTTTTTTGGCTCAGTTGTCAATTGTAATCTGTTTAACAGGTGTCCACATACATAGATTGGACAGAAACCAGTTTTTTTTTTTTTTTTGTCACAGACATAAACCACTCAGTTTAATTTAATTTTTTTTTTCGCGGCCATTTACAAACAAAACGTTGAATACCGTTGTTGTTGTTGTTTACATCAAGATCATTGTCCGATTTGTTCATCTCAGTTGATTATCGAATTATTTCTGTTTTTTTCACGATTCAATCATGTAATTGTATCTTAACATCCATGAATATATCGATCATCATCATCATTTTAAATAGTGATTAGATGATTATTATTATTGTAATTATAAGATGTATAAACCTATAAAATATAATATTGTTCACATGTTTATCATCATCATTCGATATATAAAAATAATCATCATGTTACCTGTTCTATTATCGGTGATCACAAGAGCTTTAGTTACAAGTGATAATTGTTTTGGTGGTATTGAAACGTTTGAAAAATTAGCGGCAACTAATTTTGAATCAAATACAGTGCCTATGGCTGGTGTTTTATTACAACAGGATAATGTTGCATTGACTAGAGATTGTATTAATCTTTGTCGACAACAGCAACGATGTACAACATTTTTTCTTGATTATACACAATTTCGTTGTTTAGCATATGTGGAAAGCTCTCGTCGTCATCGTGATCATATACAGACTACAAAGAATTCGAATCTTTTTGAAAAAGTATGCCTGAAAGGTATTTCAAGACAAGAATTTGATCATGTTTGCGGTAATGAACGTCTTTGGGCATTTGAACGTGTTAAAGATACATTTTTGGATGGTTTTGTTGAAAAAGAATTAACCAATATGGTTGATCGTGAAGAATGTGCAAAAGCATGTCTTATTGAAGCAGCATTCATTTGTCGTAGTGCTGAATTCGATGAAGTTAAAAGAATATGCAGATTATCCAAAGAAAATCGTCGTACACAGCCACAAGCATTTGTTTATGTTAAAGATAGCCAACGTGATTATATTGAAAATCAATGTGCTCCTGCAGGTATGATTATAGATTTCAAATTTTTTCCGATATAATAATAATTTAATTTAATTTATCATACATTACATTTGATGATTGATGATGATTGCACGAGAATCGTTGAACCTGAAACAATTTATTTCATTTGATTTTATTATTATGTTAATTGTCAATGACATTGATGTTTTATACAGTTATATTTTCATTGTATATTATTGTGTGTGGATGTGTGTGTGTGTGTATGTACATCATTATCATCATTCAGGAAACAGCTAAAATGAAAAAAAAATATATTATAACTATAATAAATAAAACGAGGAATAAATTATATTATTATTTTATGATAGAAGATGAAGGCTTTATTTTGTTTGTCATGGTCAAGTGATTTTAGATATTTATGGTAAATTGCATCATCATCATCATCATCATCATCATCATCATGATGCTCAGGTGTTTGCCCAGAATTCAATTATTATTCTATTTTTGGTACCCAATAGGATGGTCATGGATCGTCAATTTTTAATAATTATCCATCCATCCATCCATCCATCCATCCATTTGATTTCAATTTAACTATGTTGAATAAATCGTAATAATCGTAATAATAATAATAATTTCCTTTAGGTCCTGCTTCTTGTGTATACACAACCAAAATGAATACAAATGTTTTTTCCATGGATTCACTTCAATTTGCATCCAGTGCTGAAGATTGTCAACTTCATTGTGATCGTGAACAATCATTCAATTGTCGTGCATATGGTTTTATCAATAATCGATGTATGCTTAGTGGTGATGATGAAAAGACCATTGGTAAACATCCATTGACAACGATGAAAGGAGCCACTTATGGTGAACGAACATGTGTAGCTGAACTATGTACTAATGGTATTTTTACATATGAAAAAATCACTGGCCATGTACTTCGATCGGCTATTACTACACCGGTAGAATTTCCTGAATATAGTTCATTAGGTGTGACTAGTTGGTGTCGTGGAAGTTGTGATATGGCACAATTAAATTGTCCTGCATTCACTATTAATTACAAGAATAATAGATGTGAACGATTGGATCGTAATACACAAGGTCGCATTACTGATCTTACCGTTTCTGAGGGTGAAAGTTTTTTTGAAAAAATTTGTCTTCGTGTACCACAAATCATGTCACAATGTCAGGATAAATTTTGGGCATTTGAAAGGTTATTATCTGGAATACATATGTGTGAATTTATAAAACATTAATTTTTTTTGCAATATTGTAGGGTTTTAGGCTATGAATTGGCACCAGTATTGTATGTGAAAACATTAAACTTTGTACAAAGTAGACGAGATTGTCAAGAATATTGTCTACAAGAACGTGAATTTCCATGCCGATCAGCATTATATAATGATGAGACTACTGAATGTAAACTATCACCTGAAGATCGACGAACCAGTCCTGGACATTATTATCGTTCACGTAATATGAAAATCAATTATCTTGAAAATCAATGTGTCCGTATTCATTCATCTTGTCCATATCAACGAACAACGAATGCATATCCAACATATACTGATATCGTTGAAACGGACAGTATTGCCAGTAATGAAGAATGTGAAAAATTATGTAATGATAATAGATACTTTTTATGTCGATCATATGCATATTATTCTAGCAATAGTCAATGTTTTCTATCCGGTGATGATTCTGTTAGTGCTGGTTCATCATTCATTCAACATCGTTCAAACATTGTATATTATGAAAGACAATGTTCAAAACTTTCAACATTCAATGCAAATCAATCATCTAATAATGGTGATAAGGTCCATTTAGTCGATACGACTACTGATGAATATCCTATTCCATTGACACCATTAACTGGTATAATTAATTTGGATGCATAAATCATAATAATATTATTATATCAAGAAATCTTCATTCATTTTATTAGATCGAATAGGTGAAACATCCACATTATCTCCCGGTATACCACAACTGCCATCATCATCATCGTCATCATTACCTTCATCATTAACACCAGATCTTGATTCCGGTAACGTTAATAAAGAAGTTGTCATCATCAATGGAACTCTTGGTGGAATTATAACAACAAAGATAACTCGATTTCCAGAATCACTTTTGCCTACAATATCTCCTATAAGTAAAAATGAAAAATTTTATTAATTAATTTATTTTTTGATTTTCTTTCTCATGATAATTTTTATCTATCTATTTTCAATTAGTTACTTCTAGTCCCAGATCAATGGGATATCCGGGAATGGATTCTCCAATGAATAATGATCAACTCCAATCATCATATGATTCATTACAACCGGAAAATGTTGATCAAATGAATACACGATTTCCAATAAATTACTCATCCAGTTAGTATTGCTTGATATATTTATCATCATTGAAATAATTTTTCAATGATCATTTTCCATTAATCTAGATAAAAAATGTGCACCAAATTCAAGATTTTTGTTTGAAAAAGTCACCAGTTTTGAACCAATTGGTGGTCATCTAACATTATTGTATACAGATTTACAAAATCCTGGAATTGTAACCGAATGTGCCCGACGTTGTGAACATTCTTCATTGTGTCGAGCTTTTGTTATCGATTATTATCATCAAACCTGTCATGGACTTTTTGAAAATAGTTCGGTTGGTTTACTTGATCTACGATTATCAATGGGAAAAGATTATTTTGAAGGATTTTGTGTTCCAAATTTTGTTCATTGTGACAAATTCTGGCCATTCGATCGTATCATAGATCAAGCGGTAATTGGTGCTCGTCCAGAGGAAGTTGTACGATTTGTTTCTCGTCCTGAATGCCGTACACGATGTTTGGAGGAGAAAAAATTTCGATGTTCATCGGCCAGCTATAATTCATTCACGCATGAATGTCATCTTTATTCAGAAACCAGAGATTCAGGTTCATTAAATCTACAATTCAGCAAAGGAATCGATTTCATGGAAAATCAATGCGTCATAGGTATTATGATTCCTTTCATCATTCATATGTTTATCATTGTTTCAAATCTTTTTGTATAGATGTCAAATCATGTCGTTATCATTCTATTGAACGTGATATAAGTATTGTTTCAGTGACAAAATCTGTTCGTGGTACATCAACATTCCATTGTGAACAAGCTTGTGACTATGAAAGAGAATTTAACTGCCGCTCATATACTTATTTAGATAATCCGGATGGCAGTCTTGTTCCTGGTGGCAATCTTTGTCTACTTAGTGCCGATAATCGTGCAACCAGTCATCAAGGATCTATTCAATTTAGACCACGAGCTTTATACGCTGAAAAGGATTGCCTATATCAGAAAAGTTTTCGTCCAAATCAAGAACAGAATACTTTAAACCAACAACATCACTTAGAACCAACTTCATTGATCGGACCGATTATTAATTATGCTTCTGAACCAGAAGGATTAACTGCTCGAAGAATTGATCCAACAACGCCTAAACCTAATATTGTTCATAAGACGCACATGATTAATCAAAGTAGATTCAATAGTGATGATTTACAGCCAACAGTGAATAATATGGTACAACTTCAACATATTCCACATCGTTGTTCACTTGATGAATATACATTTGAAAAAACTTTTGGCTATGATCTAAGATATGCACAAAGAGAAAGAGCTCCGATTGTATCTCGATCTGGTGTTGTCAACTATTGCAAAGATGAATGTATACGACGTGGCGATAGATGTATGGCTTTCATAATTGAATATGGTTCAGATAAGAATCAAAATTGTTTTTTCCTTTCTGAGGCTGCTTCGGAGAATCGAAATCAATTGAACAAGCTAATGGGGACGACGTATAATGAAAAAATTTGCCTCAGAGGTTTGAAATCATAATATATTTCCCACTTTTTTTCCCTCACATAATGATGACAAAACAAATTAATTTCCTGTTTTGACCATATTACAGAAAAGACATGCGATAGTATATGGACATTCGAAAGAATCATTGGATACACTATGGATGAAACGGCCGATCGTGAAATCAACTCAATAATGTTTCGGACAGCTTGTCAAGATTTGTGTTTGTTGGAGAAAAGTTTTTCCTGTCGTTCGTTGACTTATGATTACGGGCGAAGAATTTGCCGCTTATATCATAATACAAGACGATCAAAACCGCAGTCTTTTCAAAGGACATCCGATCATGTTGATTATTTTGAAAACAAATGTACAAAAGGTTTGGAACATGATTGATTAGTCAATTTTTTTTCATAGAAAAAACCGTTTGAATATGTAATGTTTAATTATTTGGTTTAGAATTATCCACTTGTCAGTATAGAGATTTCAAGGATCGTCGTTCCAATTATGTGGATAAATTATCAATTGCAGCTACATTGGTTGATTGTCAACGGCAATGTGATTCCGAATATTCTTTTCATTGTAAATCAGTTAATTATAATGCAATTACACAAGATTGTGCCCTATCCAGCGAAGATTCATTGTCAATGCTTAATGTTGCCAATAATGATGATATCAAAACAACATCACCTATTGCCGTTTCAGAAGTTGTTTCAGCTGCATCAACAATAACCGAATACCTTCATGGAAGTATTTATAGTGAAAAAGGAAATTGTGAACAAGGTGAACAAAAACAATAGAATAGATTATATTTACCTTTGCTTTTCAATTTATTTTTGTATTTGTTAAATGAATTTAGTCAGCGTCCAATGTAACCAAGAAGACATGATGCTAACTTTGAATTTCGATAGTCCATTTATGGGTCGAGTTTATACGAAAAGTAATCCATCAGAATGTTTTATAAACGGTAATGGACAATTACAACTACAGGTATGTTGATTCACGATTGTTGTTGAATAAACAAAACAAACAGAAAAAAAAGTCCAAAGATTCTATTGTCTAAAGAAAATATGATCCGATTTTTTCCCATTAGTTTGCAATTCCTTTGGATTCTCGTTGTGGAACTTATCAAGAGGTATGTGTTTTGCTATGGAAAAAGACAAAGAAAAATGGAAAATTCTAATGAAAGAAGATTTTCTCAATTTACAGAGTACCAGTAGTTATGTAAATGAAGTGATTGTTCAACAGCATTCGGTCATCATGACCGATAATGATCGAACGATTCGAGTACTTTGTTCATTTGAAGTATCCGATCAGACTATAACTCTAGGAAATATCGAACAGCAACAACAACAACAAAAGAATGTTCCTATACCAAACGGAATTGATGTTTCGTATGTAAAATATCTTTGAATGAATGTATTCTAGGATTTATTTCATCTACCATATTTGCTATTCATAATGTTTTCTATTCTGATCACTTTTTTTTCTAATTCAAAATAGCACAAATCCCAATGGAAGAAGTTACAAGGATCGGAAATCACCGGCTACTTTTGTGGCAAATACTGCTGCTCCCCCATCAATACAAATGCGTATACTAGATCCTAGTGGACGAGATGCACAAGTAGTCAGTTTGGGAGATGATTTGATACTACGAATCGAATTAAGAGACCAAAATTATTCACCATATGCTATTTTTGCTAGAAATTTATATGCTCGTAGTTCGAATGGTGAATCGCTTTTTTTGATTGACAATAATGGCTGTCCAATTGATTCGTCCATCTTTCCGGCATTACAATTGGATCCAATTGATCATCGATCGTTGTATTCGAAATTCAAAGCATTTCGGTTTCCGTCCACCGGAGTGGTAAATTTTGAAGTACAAATACGTTTCTGCCAAGAGTATTGTGAACCGGTCAAGTGTGCTCAATTGAATGGCCATGTCGATTCGTTTGGTAGACGACGTCGACGTAGCGTGAATAGTTTTCAAGAACTTTTTCTCCATCAACAACCATCACTGAAATGGCATTCTAATCGAATCAATATGAATGATGGTGACAACAACAAAAAACATTTGAATCAGTCACAAGAGAATTGGACCAGAATCAATTTATCAACCAATCATCATGGACTATTGAACATGGATCAAATAAATCAATCATCATTGAAGCCTGGCAACAACTGGACAGCAACCAATGAATTTGTACAACGTATTCGTATTGGATTCACATATCCAACCAACAATTACCGTTACTATCGTAATCGTAATAATCATTCAATTGGTCATGATGTTGGTGATGCGAAAAAAACTGATGAATTCAATATTATCGATGAGTACGGCAATCAAATTTTCACTACACCAGCCATGCATCTATCAGGCAACGTCAACATTAACGAATTGGATGAAAATATTGACAATGGCAATGTTGATTCGCCAAAACAACAACAACAACAACAATTGAATCATATATTGTTGGATCGTACAGCAAAGACCGTACAATGAATGACATGCAGAATGTCAATTCTAATGAAAATGAAAATATTACCGATAATATAAATATAGCCACAACGACAACGATGAAAATGGAAAACTTTAACCCTATCGTTACTAATGCTGCACTTCCTTTGCCAACATCAAATTTAGCAGCGGAAGTACCGTTATCATTAGCAATTATGGTGGATGGCAATGTTGATGATGATAAAGATAACGATTCTATTGCTAATGCTGCAGCTGTTACATCTGTTCATGATGATGAAAATGATGACAACAATGACAATTCTTATTCGTCGTCTAATAATGAATTCAATGTCCACGATGATGCAATTATTAATCATGATGATGATCAACATAGTCAAGATGACGAAATCCACGGACAAAATAAAGAAAGAGAAAATAATTTCAATCTTGATATGGCCACTAATGACCTTGGTCATCATCACCATCGGTTACGGCAACAAAACAATCTAAAATATGTTGACATGGCTGCTGCCGCTATTCGTACGACTCGTCATGGTCATCTTGAAACACGTAATAATTTAGGTGCAATAAAACATGGTTTGTATCTTTATGTTTTCGTGCCTCATTTAATTGGGTTAATTTTGTTTTTTATATTTAATCTAAACAAAATATAGACAAAACAAAAGCGACAACAAAAATGAAAGAAAATCTTCCACTAATTTGTATGGATTATTGTACGAATACAGGAATCATTATTTTCATTACAACGTTGATTGTAACCATTGTACATTTAACTCTTGGTGCCAGTGTTTATCTATATATAACTAAACTAAAACAGTCGAAAAAATTTATCCATCACCATAATCATGTTAATCGAAAAAATTTAATGTTTATCCGTAATGTTGTTGGTGCTCCTGCAAATTATCAATTATCAAATTCATCGTCTATCGGTTTTAATCATTGTTTATCACCAAATAGTACATTAGCCTATAGTAGAAATGATGATTGTTCTAGTTTGAATGAAGATACATTAACACCAAATGCTGTATTGGCTGTCATTGATGATCATGATGATGATCATAATGATTCATCTAATCGATTTAATGATGAATATACGAATAAAACAAACAAACAATCTGAACAAAAACCATTATCTTGGTTTGGCATCGATGATCATCAACAACAACAACAACAACATCAGCAGCAGCAGCAGCAACAAATAAACAACAAAATTTTGGCAGTATTCGTAGTACATTTCAATCATGGTAATATTTTTTTTTCTGGTCCTCGTGAACAACGTTTTTTTGGTATTAATAATTATCAATTTCCTAATCATCGATCATCAGATTTAAATTCATCATCATGTACAACAACATCAACATCATCATTGGGATCAACAATGGCCAAATAATAATAGATCTGATGGTTTTTTTTATGTTTGTCATATATATTATATTAATCAATCCTTTAGTGTTAATTATTTTGTCATCAACACCACCACCATCATCATCATCATCATCATCCATAATTATTGTCAACCCAACAAAAATTATTGAATATATTCATCATTTAATATATTAAATTTAATATACATTCATAACATTCTTTGCCACATATATTCAATGATGATGATGATGATAACAAAAATGAAATATGACGAATATTTGACGCTTTTAAGCATTTTTTTTGTTTAGTTTTGTTTTCCATTTCTTGCAAAATGATAATTTTCAATTTCAATCATATTCTTGTATTATATACAAATTTATTCTATATATAATCAACACAAAATTCAACATTCACGAATCGATCCATTTTTTTGTCGGGTTCATGAATTGACTATAGTGCCTGGTTGATTGGTGTGTGTGTGTGTAGTAGTGGAGAGATTTCATTTTTTTCTATTCAAATATACATGTGTTATATAATACACACACACATTCGATTTAATTTGGATTTTTTTTCAATTCTTTTTCTCTTTTTATTCGTTCTATTTATGTCAATTCCATTTTTCATCATCGTAAATAAAAAAAAATTTGAATTCATTTTTCATTATCATTATTATTTAGTTTTTTTAGGGGGGAAGTGGGGATTCTTTCCACACTTTGACATTCGTTTGTCATCATCATCATCATTTTTTTTGCCCCTCTTTTAAACTAATAGTTTTTAATGCGGGGGTGTGGATGGGTTTTGATGACTTTTTTTCAAGTGGAAAATATTTGTGCATGTGTGTGTTATGGACAATATTTTTTCGCATATATTCGCGTTTATTGATTGTTTGAACGAAGAAAAAAAAAAATCACAAGTACAGCCTATATGTTGTGGTGGCCAAAAATATATATATATATTGATATATTGATCATCAAATCAAACACATGTCATTTGATACAAATTTCAATTTTTTTCATCATCATCATCATCATCATTTCATTCAATGAATTTTTTTTATTTATTTTTTTTCCAATGGTAAAAACCCAACATTTTGAAAAATTCAATACTTTCATATGTTGTTTTGGGAAAAAAAATCGATTTCATTGTTGTTGTTGTTGTTGTAATAATGAGGTAATTGTTTTGGTCTTCTTACAACAACAACAACAACAACAACAAAATGAAAATAATAATAGAAATTGATTTTATTTTTCATCTCATCATTTTATTTTTATTTTATTTTTGTTCAACGAAAAAAAAATTAAAAAAAACAACAACAAAATTTCCTACAACAAAATATAAGCAGCAAACGCACACACACACACACACACACAGCATTAAAAATTTGATAAACGATAAAATGATAAAGGCTGACAATGGATTCCATCCGGAATGATGATGATGATGATGATCGACAATCTTTTTTTTTTTTTTTTTTTTTTGATTTCAACCGAAAAACATTTGCCAGTAAAAAAAAGTGATTGAGTTAGAATTGGGTATTTGAGTAAAGTGAAATGAAGTGAATATATGGTTGGTTGGTTGGTTGGTTGGTTGGTGAATTGAGTTTTGGTGGATTTCTTTTTTTTTTTTGTTTGATTTTTTGTAAGAGCCTCTTCGGTTTTTTCAATTGGAATTTTGTTTTATAAAAAATGATCGACCCGAGTACCACCATCATCATCATCATATATGAAGGAAATTCAATTTATCTGTTTACTATATGTTTTGTTGTTGTTCTTTGGTCATTTGATTTATGTGTTGACTAATTTTGATAACATTGGCATCTTTAATTTGGCCATTGAATTGTTTGACAAATTCACCAAATGGACGGGCTTCAGTTGGAAGTGTAACAGGAAGCACTAGTTTTCCGTTTAAATTTTCTGGCCGTTGATCATTATCAATAAATTCATCGATATTTTTTTTACCAATGACGGAAAAAAATTTTTGTTTATTACCATTTTTGTCTATATATGTTGGCAGCCATGATTCAACAATTTTAACAATATAGCTTAACAAAAATGGTAATTCATATACAAGTACATTTCTTACAAGACCATAATAACCAAATGGTATCTGTTTGACCAGAAATTGTAATAGATCTAGATCAACATTCGATATGCCAAATTCTTGACAATCAATAACAATACAAACACCATCGATTCGACGAGCTTCATAATCTAGATCGAATTGTTCAAAATAATAGAACAATGCACGTTTGATAAGCCAATCTAGTTGCGAAATTTTTCTATAATATTTCAAACGTATAACCAATATTTGATTATCTTGTTTATCGATACCAGGTTTTTGTATTGCTTGTAATTGAAAAATTTCTGTAGGCAATGCATTTGCAAGTGTTAATTTGGCCACATTATATTCATGACGAAATCGATAAAAATCAAGAAATTTTTCAAACGCTTCATCCACATTACGATGGCCAGCAATTATAAAACGTTTGAGCATCCAATCACTAACATTGTTGTTGTTGTTGTTGTTGTTGTTGTTGTTATTATCATCATTTTCATTGTCATTATCATTATTATTATTCACATCAATGTTGTTACTATTATTGGTTGAATTGAACACTGGTGTGATTCGATTTCTAACATCTTCAATATCAACATCTTGATGATTAATTACATAATCATAGATTTTATTACGTAGCTGTTCTAAAATTTCTTGATCAACATTTAAATCTCTGAGTAATTTCATTTTTTTTTTTTTGTAGCTTTGTAGCTGTATGTGTAACAAAAATGATGATGTGATAGAAAAAAGTTTTTGAACAAACAGACAGAAAAAAAATGTGTCACACGCAATGATTTCTTGATATACACTGGGGCCACTGTTGAAACTTTTAACAAAAACAAACTGAACGTTTTTTTTCACATTAACAACAACAACAAAACAAAAAACAAAAAAAACGCAACAAATAAGCAATATTTTAACGAATAAACAAAAAGCCAAGGATTCAAGCAAGGTTTTTTTTCGTGAATTTTTTTTTTTGTTTTAATTTTTATATTTCATACTCGATTTTATTTGATGGATGTGAAATTAAAAAAAAAATTTGATGACGGTAATGATAATATAATGGTCATTGATGGTGTGGTGAATGTTGCTGTTGTTGTTGTCGTTGTTGTTGTTGTTGTTGTTGCTGCAATCAAATGTGATAAGGGATTTTTTTTTTTGTTTCTCGGCTACCAATTTCAATATGATGAATACCACTATCATAAAATCATTTAAAAACAGCCAATCCATGATTATTTTCGTTTATATCCCCCCCCCTCACACACACACTATGTTTATGATCATCAAGTGTTTTTTTTTTAGTGTGGTGGAAAATAAAAACAACAACTCTCTCGATCTTAAATCTGCGTGCATATATATATACCTCAAGGACATTTGAATTGAATTTGATTTTGAGTATGGTAATGGCGGTATGCGGTGTGGTTTTTTTTCATGTTATAAACAATCAATTAACTCTTTTTTTCTCTATTGATTTGATTGAATGAATGAGTTTTTTTATGACCAGAAAATTTTTCAAATGTAATTGTAAATTGTGTAATTCATTTGTTGGTTTATTATTATTTTAAATATTCGGGTACATACAACAGAAAAAAAAATTCTTTCCAATTAAATTGTCAATGTACAAACAAACATCTCTCTCTCTCTCAATCATCATCATTATTTACATTTTGTACACAAAACAATCAGAATTAACTTGTTTCTGTTGTTCAAGGCTAGTTACCTTGAACAACAACAACAACAACAAAAAAAGCTTGACATTGCACATTTACAGAGATGATGATGATGATGATCATTGATCACCATCATCATCGATGATCGTCAAACGTCATCAAAAAACGGATACATTGACATTGTCATTAATTTTTTTCCCCATTTTGTTCATCCATTCAAAATGAATACATATCCTGATATTTGCAAGGAAATGAATAACAAAAAAAAAAAAAAATTATTTATAATTAGCGACATTGGCTAAAACCAAACAAATACAATAGTGGTGTATAATATGATTTTTTTTTTTTTTTTGGTACAAAATATCAACATGGATCCAATTCATATTAATATGATGAAGCATCATATATTTATTCGGGTTTTGTTGTTGTTGTTGTTGTTGTTGTCTTTCCTTAAACAAATTAAATATTAAATCAAATTATGGATCAACAAACGAATGGATGTGAACAAAAATGGAACGGAAAACACTATATATTTATATATATAATAGATGATGATGATCATAATTTTATTTTACGCATCATCATCATCATCATGATAATCACATATGGAATTTATATAATTTATGCTCCATAAACTTTATCATCATCATCATCATCATCGTCATTCATTTATCTTAATGTTTTTTTTTTGAATTTGTTTTTCATTATTTGATCATCATTCATTCATTTATATTTATTGAAAGTTTTAAAAAGTACATTGTATTTTGAATGTTCTTATTTGGGTTATTTTTTTTCTCATTCATGTTTATTCACCTATATTTGTAAAAAATAGATAAAAATTAGCTTTCCAGAATGATGAATTCTAATTACTGCAAAAAGCTAATATGGATAAATATAATTGAACCATATATTTTAACGGTATATATGAACATTATCAATGAATAAATGGGGAAAAAAAATTCTTTGTGTTAACACAATTTCTGGTCTGTCAACCTTTGCATGTTTTCGCTCTCTCCTATACGGTCTGTATCATAATCATTCAAAAACATGAATGAAATGACAACAATATCAAAGAATACAGAATAATTCTCACTTTCTCATTTTCCCATTATTATATTTCGATTCTGTATTTTTTTATTTTATTTTTTTTTCTTGATTCTTTGATTTCTTCTGCATGGGTAAATTGGTTGAATCAAAGAATGTAAAGAAAGGAAAAATAGAAGAAGAATTCACTTCATAGGTTTCGTGTGTGTGCCTGTGTGTGAGAATGCATTTTAATTCAGTATGGTTTGATTTTTCTTGTTTTTGTTTTCCCTTTTTATCTGGTTTGTGAATTCTATGTGTGTGTATTGTAGATTCTTTTTTTCCTTCTTCTTCTTTTTTTTCACTGGTTGTCAGAATATTATCTATATGTCTGTAAGGTCTATTATGTTCAACATACATCATCATCATCATATAGTAAATTTATATCGAACCCAAAAATTTTTTTTTTTGTTACAGGGGATATATCTTTTTTTTTTGTTCATTCGATTCTATTTTAACATTGTATGAATACCATGTTAGGTCATATGTGTGTGGGTTTTTTACAATTTCGAATGCATCAAAGCATGACTTTTGACATGCCAATACAATGTTTCGTGTATTTTTTTTTTATTTTTTTTTATTTTAATGTTTGAATGTTTTGTATTTGGATGTTATATCTATCTCTGTGTGTGTGTATATGTGTCTGCGCCATAACAATATCATCCATGTTATCATCGTAAATGCACAAAGAGGCAAGGCATTTGAATATCATATATACCATTCTATGTGTGTGTGTGTGTGTGTGTGTGTGTGTGTGTGTGTGTGTGTGTGTGTGTGTGTGTGTGTGTGTGTGTGTGTACTAGGATGTTCTAGGATCCAAAATGGTGTAAGAGAAAAAAAATAGGTAAAACCGATCCAAATATATTTGTATGTGTTGAAACCTATGTAGATTTTTTTTTTCTTCTTCTTCTTTTTTTTCACTGGTTGTCAGAATATTATCTATATGTCTGTAAGGTCTATTATGTTCAACATACATCATCATCATCATATAGTAAATTTATATCGAACCCAAAAAACATTTTTTTTTTTGTTACAGGGGATATATCTTTTTTTTGTTCATTCGATTCTATTTTAACATTGTATGAATACCATGTTAGGTCATATGTGTGTGGGTTTTTTACAATTTCGAATGCATCAAAGCATGACTTTTGACATGCCAATACAATGTTTCGTGTATTTTTTTTTTTTTTTATTTTAATGTTTGAATGTTTTGTATTTGGATGTTATATCTATCTCTGTGTGTGTGTATATGTGTCTGCGCCATAACAATATCATCCATGTTATCATCGTAAATGCACAAAGAGGCAAGGCATTGAATATCATATATACCATTCTATGTGTGTGTGTGTGTGTGTGTGTGTGTGTGTGTGTGTTGTGTGTGTGTGTGTGTGTGTGTGTGTGTGTGTGTGTGTGTGTACTAGGATGTTCTAGGATCCAAAATGGTGTAAGAGAAAAAAAAATAGGTAAAAAACCGATCCAAATATATTTGTATGTGTTGAAACCTAATGTGATATGTTTGTGTTTGTGTATACAATTCATATATAAATATATAGAAATCGAATATAGCACATAGCAATTCAAGATGATGATGATGATGATGATGTTGATTCCTTGAAGAATAAATGTATGAATGAAAAAACAAAACATTCAAACACGCAATGCTTATTCTCACATTGACATGAATTCAGAAAAGAATTCATGTAAAGTCAATGTTTTTCTTCACATCCATCGACAACGATATTCATTCATTCAAAACTTTGAATTTATTGGCGCATTTTTTTCGGATTCTTCTTCATTTCACAACTAATGTTTACATTTTACAATTTAATAATTTTTTGTTCTTTTTTTGACCATCGTTTTCCTCATTGTGAAAATATTTTTTTTTTCATTACGTGCCACCACCATCACCACCACCACCACCACCTGTATGCGATGCTAAATCTGTAAAAATTTCTCATTTAACTCTGTGTGTATGTGTGTTTGTGTATGAAGAAAAAAAAAATTCAAACAAAATTCAAATCCATCCAAAATTTGATTGACAAAGTTTTTTTTTCAAAAAGATAAACAATCTATCAAGAAAAAACAAAACAAAAAAAAATCTGGTAAATATCTCATATGTGAATTTAAAAAATTCATCAATTCATCCATATATAATTATGATGATGATCATCATAAATATGAAACGAAAAAACGGTAAAAAAAGAGAATTTGTGTAGAATTAAACTTTTTTTTTCTCTCCTGCAGTAATAGCGAAAAAACTAATAATTACATCCAATGTAGATTATAGATTCATTTATATTACATTGTAAACATTGATAATATCATATTGGTATGGTAAACACATGAATCGAATCAGCCAGCCAACAAAAAAATTCAAGTTAATCGTATTTAAACTTTTTTTTTCTTCTTCATCATCATCATCATCATCTTAGCCATATCATTTCTTTTCTTTGTTGGTATTTTGTACGCATTTCATGATGATCATGGAACTGAGAAAACAAAACAAAAAAATTCTACCCTATTAACTATAAAGCTATCATCATCATCATCATCATCATCAAAAGTGATTACTGATCGAGGCAAATTCGTTGTCTATGTTATTCCCCATATCGCTAAAGTTCTTGTTGTTGTTGTTGTTGTTGTTTTTCTTATTAAGCTTTATTATGTGTCTCTGTATGTGTGTGTGTGTGTTGTAAATATCCCAAACAACTGGTAAAAACTTTTCTCCAATGAATATTTGAGACTATATCATCATATAATAATAATAATAAGACGACGACGTTTCTGATCTTAAAATCATATATAGAATCAGAAAAAAAACAACTATGATTATGATGAATCATTGTGATGATCATCATTGCCGATTCGTTGATTTTTTTTACAGTTTTTAGTTTGTTTTTTTGGTCTTGAAACTGATATATTTTTTTTTCTCTGGAATTTTTTTTTATATTTCTAAATTTCCATTCGGATAATTCTGTCTGTAAAATCTTTTAAATTTATTCATTTATTCTTCAAAAAAGATTTATGCTCAGAGAGAGAGAGAGAGAGAGAGAGAGAGAGAGAGAGAGAGAGAAAATTCTTGATTCATATGTATATGATACACTTGCATTTACACAATGCACAGATACAAATTCAAATGAAAGTGAATGAATCTTTTTTTCTTTACTGAAATTTTTTTCCGCTTTTCTTCATTTCACATTTTTTTTCTATTTTTCT